TCATCTTAGGATCATAAAACTCATTCAAGAGAAGGATCTGGGTTTAAACCCAGTGTGGTCAGGCAGGCTTTATTGACTCCATCCAAATCTTTCTGTGATCTTCCCAAACCACTATATTGGCACTTCTTCATTTCTGTGGAATTCAGGTCACTTCTGCTATTCAGACAAGTTTCTTTTCTCTGCAGTGCATCTGAGACCTTACACTAATTGGTAATGATGTGTTAATAATAGAGCCATAATATTGCTCTGTGAAATGGAACATCTTTCATTATGAAGCACAGTGCCTTTTTATTTCAGTGCATCAATATTTCCTGAATGCGTGGCCACTGATTTTTAACTGCAAAATAAATACTTTTTTTTTCCACAAACGAGTTTGTCTTGCACATGAAAATGTATGAAAATAAAATGCATTAACTCTCATGGGGAGAGGTTAGACTAATTTATTTAAAGTTCACTGCTTTTAAAATAAAATTATGACCTTCTGTTGTACTTTGAATTTATACATTGTTTAAATTTGTGTGTACGAGTTTACATGCGCTTCTGAAAAGGTTCTGAAAGATTAATGTTTTGTACACAGTGAACTTCTGTAGTACTGTAATGCTTTACATGTCATAATCCATAATTAGAAGCCAAACCTACATTTTCCACTTATCGGTTATTGTAGCCAGACATTAACGTGAGGTTAATTAGAATTAATGTAAAACGTAATAGAAGACAATGGCACCGAGATATGAAAAATTGTGGACATTAAAATCATCATTTAAAATACAAAACCGTGAAACAAAAGTACTTAAAAGGAAAAAAAATTACATGGAAGGATAGAGACAGGAGCTTTATAACAACTGTTGGTGGTGAGACCTACAGAGGACAAAGTGAAATAATATTGCTGCTTTCAAAATATGAATTTTACACTCGCATTAAAGATAGCACTTCCACAAAAAAAGTTGTCGTAATTTGCTCTGATTAAATATTCTCTGTGGTCAGATTTTCTTTATCTCTGTAAGATTGCACACTTAATTTACTTTTATCCCACAATTTTATGTACGGGAAATGCGAGAAACCGTTCCCTCTTCATTTTCAATGTATATATTGGTCAAAGTTAATACTGGTCAATTGGTCAATGAATAGAAATAATATTGAAAAATAAAATAATTGAGCGCAGAAGACAAGCTTAACAATCTACGTGAACAAATAAGTACAATTGTTAAATGGTCAAACACACAAATAAAAGGTCCTAGTTTTAGTTCTACGCGTATATTATCTTGAAGGGATACAATACCACTGGGACCATAATGCACAAGGTGGTCTTTGTTAGCTTTGCTGCAGCGCGGTGTTGCTATGTGATGGATGTGAGGCATTTATTGCTATAAATACAATGAGGCCAAGATCAGATGAATTGGTTCAGAGCCCACAATAGTGTACGGCTTTCTGGTAACTGACAGCATGTCCATCTTATGCTTTTGTTACATCTTGCAGGAAAGTCAGACACTGGTGGCTGATGGATAACCCATGAGATCATCCATCATTTCAGCTACGATCTATACCCAATCTACTCGATCATTATTTATCCTGCTCCCAGTGTGTCAGAAAAATATCACCTGACTGTTAGCACCTATGGTTTCCACGTCCAAAATTAATCTACAAACAGCTGCTCATCGGTGCACCCCAGTCAAGTAGTCAAGCACAATATTTATTCAGTAAGAAAAAAAACGCTTTGATGCCAAATGCAACAGTAGACATGGGTGATTCAACCAATTTCCCGTCTTTGAGAAGTGTTGCCTTTCAACACTTCACCTGAGAAACAATAAAACTTCCTGTTTTTACATCTCCAACAGTTTTAGGAAACCTAACGTTTCTAATTAAATTGCATATACTAATGTGGACAAAGCCTTTTTTGGGGGGGAAATAACACACCAACAGTCCTTGTAGTGTTAGAGTAATATTATTGTGTTAAAAAGGATAGAAAGAGAAAGGGTTGGTTAATATCTTCTTCTATGCCCATGCCAACCCTACCCTATTATAAACCCCCCCAAACCCCCTTCCCCCCACCTCCCCTCGGACGATATCCCAAAGATAATCAAGTAAAACTGGCAACATAATTAAATCATTTTCCTACGTCAACAATCTCATCTGCCGCTCTCACGCTCCCAATACAAATGGCGTAGAAAGCATTGATTTGAACTTGGCTTGTTCATGCCAGTCTATCTTCTATCCTCCAATATTGTTCTCAACCAGGAACTTATACAACTTGGTTTTAAAGTATTTAATTTAATAGTCCTGTTTAAGACTATCTACTTAAATGTACTTTGTCACATTCTAAGCCAAATAGACTGTTTACATTTACCTCATCCACACCTCAAACACGTTCTCCCATCAATCTTATTTGTTCTACTAATAGAGGAGACCCTTCGCGAGGATCTGGTAAGTTGCTCTTTTCTGCAGTAGTGTACAGAGCCACACTACAAAAATTATCATTGTGTGTGTGTACATATATGTTGATAATATATTAAAGCAAACATTTGCACAATTAAAGCAATCGATTTTTAAAAAAATCTTTATGAATATTGCATAATTTTGTAACATGTTTTGCTTATTTTCTTTCAGCCTTTTCTGCATTTGTTTTTTTTTAATTTGAGATTGGCTTAAGTTCCTGGAGATGGTGACGCTTTAATAGGCCTCTGCCGACGGTGCCTCTAATAAAGTAGTGGAAGTTAAGCCAGGGCCGTTGATCTGGTGATCTTTTTCCTTTCACCTCCACGAGGGAAGCAGAGACTTCTCTGGGCTCAACTGATAGCAGGTCTGATATGAGGTCAGTTTGCCAAACCAAGCTCGAGACTACATCAACCACAAAACTGAATAGTCCAACACCTATTTACTCTATGTTTATTGGGCTAAGACAGGACTGTTCTATTTGTGTGCTCTGGAAATGCTTGCCATATAGTGATCCTCATCCTCGACTCCTTCACACGTGAAATCCAGGCCAACAACTGTAACCTGTGATCAAGATTGAATTTCACCAGAGGAAGTGATCACCGTGTTGTATTTAAATGGTTGAAATCCCAGTGGAAATACAGTACACCACAACTACTGAACAATAACGCTCATACCTTTATTCATTTTGTATTTCATATTTTGTTTCTTTCATAGGTGAACGTTCAAGACTTATTTGTTCAATATACAGAACAAACATCCAATATCTGGTGTTTCTCACTTATTAGCCATCATTAAGTCTTGTTGGCAGCACGTTTGTCATTGCTTGTGCAGCCTGAAATACTGTGAGCAGCTCTTTTTGTAGGGATGTTTCACATCTGTTTTTTGTTTTTTCACAAGAAAAAAGTGTGAACAATCTTTCAATGTCACTGAAGGCAAAAACACACAGCATGCTTAACTCTGTGTACAGTAATTCACCCCCAAAACATTGTGAAATTGTGCAGCTGGTGACAAAAAGCTGCTAATGATGTCTCACAGAGGAGTAATTAATGTCTGCCATCACACAAGTAGAAACGTCTCTTTTGAAATTGTTTTTTGGGAGATGGAAAAACAGTATGGAACTAAATGTTCGAAGGAATGATGTGTATTAAACAATTTATTTTGAGTTCTCCTTGAGTTCTCACTTTGTCTATTGCTGCTTTGCAATGCTGAATCAATTCATTTGGTTGACTAATTCTGGTGAGTCTGCCCCTGAAACCGATTTATTTTTTGTAATTTTCTTCCAAAACCACTTACCGTTTCACAAATGCGCATCTGCTCCCAAAGCTTCTTTTGAGGGGCTTAAGAAAGACCTCTTCTGGCTCAAGTGTGGAAGTTGGGTGAGAACGTTATCCAACTGGGCTGTGATGGCCCCCACCCTATACCTCCCACCCTCATGGTCAAATAGCTCGCCAACATTCACTGTCCAACATCACGTGTGTCTAAGTCTCACCTGGACAAGGTAATTGTCACTGAACATTGACACAGCACATTGTTGTAAAGGTAAAAACCCACGAGGCAGTTTATGGCATCATCCAGCAAACTCCCCAATGTCTTTCCACTAGAATCATGGCTATTACCACGGTTAAACATTGGTGGTCAATAAGTTCATCGTTTTCTTTAACGTTATTTTCGGTTTATAAAGTTTACAAATGCTCTTCTCATGCTTTCACTCAAAAATGCGCATGTTACCTTACCAAAGGCAAACGAAAACCACATATAAATGTAGTTTTTAAAAGATATGGGGAATAGAAATAGATAAATAATAATCTATTATTATTTTTAATAGAAAAACTTTTCACGTCTTCTAGACGTCTTAAAGGGCTTCACAGAATATACTGTAAAGTGATCTGACAGTAAACTTATGAAGTTTGTAAACTGAAAGCACATATATTAATTATCACTTGGCAGACAGATTTGAGGATATCCTACATTTAATTTTCTCCCCTTTTCATTCTGTTGTGAGAATCTCAGAACAAATAATACAACTGTTTCATGAATCCATTTATTTCAAAATGTAACATGTACCAGGGAAGTTTTACACAGAAGTAAGAGCCATGGGAATGAGCAAACAACTGCACAAATACTGCTACTCTAGATCACGAGTGAATTTAATCCAAAAATGTAATGTTTGCAAGAGACTGAGAATGGATTTCTAAAAGAGGAACAGGTTGACTTTTAAGCAGGCGTCAATGTCAAAGACAAGTTAATGTCAATGTACTTTTAGCCACTAAAGAAACAAAAACATTCTTGGTCTGGTAATGAAGAATGTAAATTAAACAAAATTTGATTAAATGGTCAAAGGTAGTAACAATGCGGAAAGCACCCATCTCCAAAGGTGCACTTTCTTAAACTATATCAGTCTACAAATGTAACTGCATAGAGGTCAGAAACACAGAGGAGTTTGCATATATTTATATAATGCAGGGTCGGCAAACTACATCTTTGAAATCTGTACCTTCCCATATTTACCAACATCTGGATCAAGTAGGAAATAATTTTAAGTCTTGCAATTCAAAAACAACACAATGTTCAATTTATATTTTTTATTAACATATGTTACAGTCATTTTTATTAAGCTTAAGGTTTTCTTTTCGATGTGCCAGAAAGTCTTTAGGTTCTACAGTAATGTACTGTATTTAAAATATTCATTCATACGGGGCAACACACTGGTGAAACACTCAACTTCTATCTGCAAAGTACACACACCACTCTTGTTTGCATGAAAATGTTAGACTGCAAAGTGGTGATTACAAAACTTAGAAAAACTAACAAAAAAAACCCTAACTCAGCAGCATGCATGAATTCTTCAAGTACATTTTTTAAATCAACTGCGTATCTGGTATCCAAATTCCACCATTAGTATGGGGACAAAGTGAAGATAAGCCCATTACCATCTCTGGGAATCAGAGTAGCAAAGAACAATCCATTAAAATTAATATAGGACAATTCATAATCCATTATCATACCCACAGCAATAGTAGGTACAAGCAATTATTATACACCCTACGTCTTACTTACTGTTGTCTGTTTATACACACATGCGGTCACTAAATTTAAACCTTGCTGCCGTTTATTAGTATTTAGTATTCTGCACTACGCTCTGCTGCGAGTGTTGTATTCTCTTGTACATTAAGAATGTCTTATATTCAACAATGGGCATTGATATATACTTATGCATATCGATAAATCATGGATCAAATCAATTGTTTTTGCACAAAATTAGAAAGTGGTGTTGAACCATTAAGCAATGGAACTTTCACAGGGCCTTGAATGTGTCGGCTATTTAAGTAGCTGCACATGTGATTCAAATAAAATAATCAAATTAGCTATTAAATATCTATTTTCCGGTAGTTCTTAAATGTTTTATATGCTCAAATCACTTTCACACAATCCCAAGAGCCAATCTACAATAATTTTCCCTTTTCCGTGTCGGACTGATCTTGTAAGAATTCCATTTTCGATATGTGCACATTAGAGCAATATGGAACTATGAACCTGAATATTCAATTGTATTAAATTCCTCACATTAGACTTGACTAGTTTTGCAGACACAAATCTTTTGTTAACAAGGCAGTCTTGATGGATCTATGGATTTTCTTATGGTCTACAGATATGGCTGAAACGTTTTCCTTCCAGCAACATTCCACCACAAACTCAATCACTCATTTTAATGCAGCTCTTACAGACCCTTGAATTAATTGTCTCGATATTTTACCGACAGAGCCCTAAATATAGGATCTTCCTTAAGCCTGCTGCATAAAAATACCAACAAAAGCAAAACATAGTTGTGAATATGAATCAATCCTGTCTGACAGACACAATACAATATTTTTCACCTACCCATAACAGAGATAGACAATTTCTGAACAGTATATATCCCATTCTGGACATGAATACCATTCCAAATCCAATCAAAGAGGATAACAATGAGATTTCTCATCCAACACTATCATAGTCATGAGTATTTAGTAAATCAAGTAGACAGATAGTGTGGATTACACTGCACAAGTATTACAGTTGTCAATTGATATGTGAAAGTCTCACTATAGACAGTGCTGTTTATTTCATGTCCAATTATTCTAAAAAATATTAAAACTCCTGTTGTGAAAGTCATGGATGCGTGGCTGTAATTAGAACATTCCATGTTCTGTACGGTGACAAAACCAAGTAAACACACTTCCTCCATAAGGTGCTGATAAACTTCCAGAGCAGATCATTAACATAAAGCTACTCTCTTCAATGAAGATCAATCATTTTGTTTTGTTAGTTCTATCACATTATTAGCAGCAGTCAATTCCAAATAGTGTATTTGCTTTACTCAATTAGCTTCAGCAAAAAAATTCATTGTCCTTAGACTAAACCTTTCACCTTTCAAAACTGAAAACTTGTAAATCAATTTAGACTGAAGACATATCCAAGAGTTTTTTTTATATTAAAAAAAACAAAACCAAGCAAGCTACAATGAACTCATCAGAATGTTACAGTTAGTTACAATCCAAAACAGTCAAAAATTCTGCAAAATATTGAAAATTCAGCACAAATCAACTTATCGCAAACAAAGGCAATTTAACAAATGCAGCAGGCTTCAAATAAACACTTCTAAATAGTGTCTGGTATCACATCTAGGTGATCAAATCTCTACAATTGGTATCCTTCATATCAAGAGAATTTGCAACTAAACCCTTCAAAAAATTACAGTCCACCTTTCTTCGCCTTATACTCTAAACATTTAATTTAGCTGGAAGGGGGAAACTTCTGAATTTAAATTGTGCTTTTTTTCTTTCATATGTTGTTGCAACTACAATATGATTAATAAATAAAAAGTTATTTCGATTTGTAAAAGATCTTTGAGCCGAATCCTGGAACCATATTTTGCTGGGATTTTCCACACAGTGCCATAAGTGATATTGATAGCACCTTCGAACATGTAGAATAATGATGATTACTTAATAGAAAGACTACTATTTAAAAATAAAATTTTTAACATGTATGAAAGTATGTATTAAAGCTGGTCAATGACCGTGTTGCATCGGAGATGTGCAAGATTAGTTACAATCCATTGTAATGTAGGCTCCATCTTTTATTGATGTGATCAAAGGTGTGCGCTATCCACTGTTGCTCCAGGACTTTATAGCGTTCCTTGCACAAGTACAATGGCTTGCCTCGTCTGTAAGTTGGGAGGAAAGAAACAAGTAAGTATAAAACAATGCAACTGGACATGTTTGTTTCAAATAAACAGATAGCAACCCCGTAGAATGCAAAATGATTCTGTAAAATCTCATTGATACATAAAAGGATGAAGATATATTGAGTTTCCTTTAATATCTGTTCTGAAAATACAGAGCTGTACTTAATGATCAGAACACAACACCAACAAAATTACATTTATAGAGCGCCTTTCACATCGGGAGGATGTCCCAAAGCGCTGAACAGTCAGGTGTTGGGGCCCGAGCATGGGGGGAGGGGTGGGGTAAGGGAAGGCAGAGAGGTGGGAGGGCGACCGAAGGTACGATCGAAGAGAAGAGTCTTGAAACCGGCCTTGAAGGAGGCAAGGAAGCGAGGCGAAGGGACTGTGCAATGGAGTTCCAGAGTGTGGGGGCAGAGAGGCTGAAAGCCCGGCCACCGATGGTAGGGCGGGAGACATGGAGCAAGCCGGAGCCCACTGAACAGAGGGAGGGGGCAAGTTGGTAGGGAATCAGCAGGTCAGAGAGGTAGGAGGGGACAAGGCCATAGATGGCCTTGAAAGTGAGGACGAGGATCTTGAATTCGATCCTCTAAGGGATGGAGAGCCAGTGGAGTCGGGCAAATAGACTGATAAAGAATACTTGAACCACAAGCAAAACTGGGCATCATTAAATTATACTATACTATACCACACATCGTATCCCAACCATAACACAATGGGAAGACGTAGATGAGGTTCCTGTTTGAAGATAAGAGAATTTGTAGGTATCAAGAGTCCTCAGTGAACTACAGAACTTGGACCCAGATCCAAATATCACACATGATGAGTATTGGTGTTGGACATTGATTTTGTACAAGGCCAAAATGTTCCAGGATCTCGTGGTGGTTGTTAAGCTGTTTATGGACTCTTTAAACCACTGTGTAACAGCAATTGTCAGATGTACATGGACACCTCACACACATTCTTATTATATCCAAATTTATCAGCTGATATAGAATTAATCCAATGCTTCTCATTGTGTCAAGTATGAGTCAGCATTTGTGGATGTAAGAAAATTATTATCAGCCAGGTGTCCGGTCAAATTAATTGTCTCCCACCAGCCCTATAATAATTAAAGTTGCATTTGATATTTTCACCTATAATATCAAAACACAGAGAGCTTCACAGCTGATTGTTGTTAAAGCAGTGACTATGCATTTGTAGACAAATATGTGGACCTTCCAAGTACAGAGGGGACTGAAACAGAAAGAACGAATCAAGGCAATGATGTGGTAATGAACACTTACCAGCTGCACATTTGAGTGGCTTTTTTCTTTCTTTTGCAGAAAATGATTTGATTTAATTCATAGAAGATACTTTTGGCGCTTACTATACACATGCGAGCAACTGACACAGAACCCATGAGAGAAAAATCTATTTACTTTTCTTTTGCTGCTCAGAAATCATGGGAAAGATACAATGATCTGCTCAACTGTGCATTGCAGTTGTAACAGGCTGGATGTTACACATGGTAGGTTAGGTAGATGGCACTGGTGTTCAGCTCTGCCATTTTATTAACACTGGATACACATCAACACATACATCCCCTAGAACCACGTTTAATTTGAGAATAACTTGCTATTGAGGAAAGAAGGGATTGTTAAAATAGTGAACAAGGCAATAAAATTTCGACGTATTCAGTAAGCTCCTTTTAATCAATCTCTTTCTCTGGTTTATTGTTGAGACCCTGTTGTTTTATCAGAGCATTACTATAGCATAAACAAATCCTTATCTACAGCATTGTACATAGTAAATTCCTCACTGTTCACTATTATATTCAGAACCAAACTTAATTGCAGAGGAAATACAAAATGGCTGAATTCATTTCAATAGGAAATCTCAAATCACTGCAGGTGAAGGGATCTCCTTCAGGCAGCCAGACTAGAATAAACAACCTGATTTAAAATTGTATGTGCAATTAACACAGGCTACTAAGAAAGGATTGAAACAGTTATGGATGATTTGAACTATTCAGAAATAATGTGGTAACGCATCAGCTAGCTTGCCAATTACATTCATGAAGCAGTTACGGAATTGTGTCTCGACAGAACACGTTAAATAAGCAATCAAAGCAGCACACCTGGTACGTAGCAATCAATAGAAATGTATGACCTTTGAAAATTAGGTTAATAGTTAAGCACTGGCATCACAATGCTATGTGTTTCAGGAAGTCAAAGTAAAGGTAAAATTCCAATTTTAAAAAAATAGGGGGGTTTTGGCTACAAGGGAGGTTTGGGGGACTTTAATTAAACAGAAGGATTTCAGAAAAACAGGTTTTAGGTTAGGGAGAAGGGAATTTCTGATTCTGATTTGGCGTGGTTGCAGACACATGTTTTGCAAAGATACAATCATTATACTGGCAGTTGCATATACTAAACTGAACATTTCAATCTGATTGAGAAGGATTGGTACAAGTGACAATTTGAGGAAGCTAACAAACAATTAAAATATATTTACAGATCCACCGATAAATATTACATCGATATAACCTTCAGTTTTACCAACAAGAATACAAGGCACTAAAATTACTCCAACTACAATTGTAGAGAAACTAGCAGAGTAATTGAGTGCAGTAGATATTCCTAAGGAATTATTAGGACACTATTAAAGATAGACAACCTTCAGGGTCATTAAATGTTTTATCATACTAAAATAATTTTTAGAAGAAATAGTTGAAGTACTAGATGAAACCCTTTATTGCTGTCAAGATTTGAGAATATTGGTAATGGACTGAAGAGGTTTTTTATATCTTTTAGTAAGACAGAAGCACAACACTTGGGAATTGCAGGCTGGTTAGCTTAAATCCAGCCGCAGTGAACTATGGGAGAGCCTTCTAAAGGATGTAATTAAAGGTCATTTGTCTTCATGGAACTTGATAAATGAGAGCTGGCATGGATTTAGAGAAGGTAAATCATGCCTGACAAACCTATTGGATTATTTTGAGGCTGTCACAGAGGTTGTGGACAACAGGAACACATTGGTTATTGTACCTTTATATTACCACAAGCCCTTTGATAAGATACTGAAGCAGAGACTTATTGAAGACACAGAATTAGGGGGGCTGTCTGAAACAGGTGGAAATAAAAGTTAGGATTGAAAACATTTGGAAACATAACTGCTTCAGAACAAAAATGGAAGGATATGTAGGTAAGTGCAGAGTGTCATGAACAAATGCTCTTAAGGCACATAAAGTATTTGCATTTGCCCACAAAATACAGTCAAAACCACTTTACAGTATATCCTGAGAAAAGTTTGGAGCAGTCTCAATATGATAAGGCCCTATATCAAACACAAGGATTATTATTATATGAACATCAGAAATAATGCTTCTGAATTAAGGAGAATCACTGATTATCTCACCTCAGGTCTCGGTCTTCCTCACCATGAGCATCAAGATATAGAGATCCCCACAAACAAAACCGATGTCCACGGATGATGATTATTACAGAGGCGTTAATCAGGAGGAATATTCCCGTTCCTGCTCCACAGTTCTGCGAGTGCTGACAACAGTAACACAAACAACTCAGTCAGCATTTCCTGCAAACTCTATTCCTTCTTAATCAAATTAATAAAAACGAGATCTAATACATCATCAGTATTAAACTTTAAAAAAGTATCAAATGGAGAATTTTACACTGAACTAAGTTAGTTAAACCAGTTTCACCACTAATTTTTCTCTATAAAACTAGTGTGTTAAAACACAATACAAAACTTCTTCAATGAAGCAACGATATAGCCGATTATTCCATGTGAGTGTCTTATGTTTTTGCTTAGCTGCAAGCTCACTTAGTTTATGCCCTGCGTCTTCTTCTGGTTCTGTGCAAATAACATGCTCATATCCATATTAATTTGCCATAGAAATAATAATTTCTTTGTCCTACCCTATTCAAGTTGTAGTTACTCACCAGTACACATTCACAATAGCTTTGTTGTTTACAGCAATGACCCTTGAGGCACACAAAGGTACCACACACCAGACAAAGCGCAGGGTCCTTAGGCACCTTTGAGCAGTGAACACAAGCCTTTCGATGATAGTACTGAAAGATAGTATTGTAATTCTCAGGTAACTGAAGAAGGCTTGGTGAAGACCACTGTGGATCCTGTTGAAGCAGACTCTGAAAGAAATAATATTATATTTTAATGTCCAAACTGCTTGAATACAATGTCAACTAATGTCTGTGGTTGAAGCTAAATGAAGATTATATGAACTCAACATTGCTAAGCGACGTTTTCCATTTCAGACTAGAACATCAGTCAGTAAGTATAAACAGAACGTTTTATATTTTGCTTCTTCGCACAAAAATGTAACTCAAGTATGGTTGCATTTTATAAGTTTTTTTTATAAAAAAGCTTTACAAAATACTGACCATCAGTAATTCTACAAAAATAACCTGTTTACAAACTCAATAGGAGAAATATAATGTGTTGGAACTGTAATTCTGTGTTAAATGGGGCAATCCTCATTGAAAAAGCAAATAGATTGGGAGAACAAAGGCAGTTGGACCTAAATTATATTTCAATTCTATAGCTTTGCAATCATAACGACATGTAAGCACAAACCGGTCACAAAAAATAAAACGATTGAAGCAATCAAATGGGGTTATAAATAGTGAGCAAAGATCAAATTGTTGCTTATGACCGTCTGAACCTCCAGATTAGATTACTTCCCTGAATAAACATTGTGATCATAATCACTCCATATTGCCAGGAATTAATACTCCAATATATTTTTATATTGACACATAACTATTTACTATTGGTTAACTAAAAAAAGGCTACGTTATATTTTTTGAAAATAAATAATAATTCCTTGCATTTGATATCATGTCAAAACATCACAAAATGCTTCATAGGATGTACAGAAAAATTCTGCGGTTACCTGATGTCTCGACGATTACAAAAAAAGGAAGAAATTATAAAACAATCTTTAAATAAAGGTGGTGGTTGGAATGCCGATTCTCTGTCATAATCTGTTGTTGAGGCAGAATACATAAATACCTCAAATGAATTAGATAGCTGCTGGACAAGGAGGAATATCAAAGATTAAGGTGAGTGAGCAGGAGGGTGGGTTTAGATTAGGCTTCTAATGTGAAGAACACCACCACCTCAGACTTGATGGGCTGAGAGCCCGTTTATGTGTTGTACATTCTACAGTTCTAAGTTTCCTCAGAAGAGTATAAATTCTGCTCCAGCTAATGTTGTCTTGATACAGCATCTGCCACAGCTCAAGCAGTTAAGATCTTTCATTTACTTAAGTGTCAGTTCCACTAGTCTTTTCATACATCCTCCATCACACCATGTGAAAGCGTCGCTAATCCACTCGGACCCTCAATCAAGACTGATCTTATTCACTGCCTTCTTCTATTCCTCTTCCATCAATTGATTTTGAAACTGAGGTGACCAATAAAGTGATTTACTGTCTCCTGAATGTCAAGACAATGTACCTCGCTCTTCAGTAACTTCATCTAATGGACTCAAAGATCAATGTTTCAAGAACTTTATTTTTAGAAATTTCAAAAAAGGCCATACATATTAGTGTTTAATTTGCATCATTAAACAGTTTTCTTTAGAAGAAATGTGCAATTATTTAATTTCAAAAACAAAAAATTGCGCTGAAAAATACATGATCAAATTTCTGAATTAACAACTGGAATTACACCTTAAATAGTTACAATAACCTGGATTATCCATTATAAAATCAGGAAGGCAGATAATGGATTTGCCTCCCTAGCCTTCCACGCACCTCTTTGACCTCAAATGCCTGCTCCACTCATCTCCCCAGACTCAGTACGTAAACGTAAATCAGTTACATTTATTCCACATCAACTATTCTGCCAAACTACTGGTCACGGGGGAAACAGCTCCAAAATATACAAATAATCCTCAATGACAGAAATTCCTCCACAGGCTAATAAAATGCAAATCAGGATTAGGGTGTAGCTTTTAAGTTGATTTAACAATAATGGAGGTCCCATTTGTGTGGTCTAATGAATGATTCAAGTGTATATTAATGATCCCATGACACTATTTGAAGAGCAATGTATTCTTACTGCGGTCCTTCTGCTTTGTGCACTGTTGCTCGTGCAGATTATCTGCCAGGACCACTTACATTGTTTGGAGAATTTGTGTGTACGGGGAGGGGAGTTTAAGGGTGTGGGGTTTTCGGCACACTACAAAATGGCTGACCTCCGCGTCATGAGATCGCCGTCGTCACCTCCTGCACACTGTGGATGAAGTAACACTGGCAGAATCCTGATGACCTGCAAATTGGCTATTTTGGCTAACCAGGCGCCAGCTGCTGTTTTGAAGTGCTGATGGAGGCAGCCGTCTTTCTAAATGCAAATCAGTGAATATACAGTATTTTCATAGGAAGGGTTCTTGATGCTGGGTCAGGTGGTTGTGTGTAAAAGTTCTGACGATACTATTTGAAAAGAAAAGGCAGTTTCTCTGGTCTTTCGACTAATACGTCTACAAATAAATTAGTCATTCATTTAATGGCTGTTTGTGGGATATTATTGTGCTCAAGTTGGCAGCTAGCTTTGCTACATATAGCAATTACCTGTAAAGTGCTTTGCACTTTGAGCCATTTTAACAGCAAGTCCGCTACGTAAAATTCAAAGGTTAGTTATTATCATAAAGGGAGGATAGAGTTAGCATTTTGAAATGCAAATTGACACTAGTTTGGTAGGATTTAAAAGCAATAACTGTATTCTCTCTAAAGTACTACATCACAATGTTTGATTTGGATTCAGTAACGAGAGGATATAAAACAGCAAGCAAAGGTATATGTATTTTTATGTGCACTTCCTGACAGCCACTGCTGTTCATTACTCCCATTTAATTTCCCTTCCCCCGGGCTACATTAGACTAAAGGTCTTCAGAAATGGAGATAAGCAATTATCTTAACCAGCTGCTCACCATCCTTTTTGGGAGGCAGTTCATCATTTACAATAATCTCGGACATTCTCATCAAACTTAACTCTTTTGTGCAATTTACATGCCAGCATAAGAATCTCACAATAATACAGCTCAATAGTTGAGATACCTTAGCCAAATATCAATGGCAAAAAGTTAATTATCGAACATATTTATGAGGTGGTTATGTTGTGAAAGGTGATGGTTAGCCTTACCGTTGCTTGCTCTGAGCAATTCTCTGCAAAAGACGTTACTTCCGAGCACCACTGAGATACAATATCTAGTGCTGGGATTGTCCACTCAAGGCAGGAGGAACTGTTAACTGGATCACCTGGCTGAAAGGGGGATGACAGTAACCCAACACAGCTGGCGAGCATCCCAAATTCTTCCTCAGCTCCCTTGTAAATAAGAAAAAAAAAGCTAGTCAATTTCTACACAGACCATCTGCTGTAATAAGCCGCCAAGGCAATAAGGTATAAAACACATTAATCTGACATCCGTCATTAAATGCAAACAGGGTGACACTTTTGTGGCAGCTGACTTCATCATGATGATGTTGATGGAAGAGGACAAACAACACACCTGCCACTCCGATAGTTCACAAAATAGGTTAATGTACTCTAAATGCCATTTCATAACATTAAAAGGTCAGTCAAAAAAACTTAGAAAAAACGTACACAATGAATTTTCTTTTGTAAAACTGACAAAGTGTCCTTGAAAGCTAACAGTTTGAACTGTTACAACCACACAGCAAGCTCGTTCTGCTCTACCTATTGGGGCTTTAGCTCCCAGGGTTGAGGGCATATACACATGTCCAAGTCTCATTAATAAGACAGACAGGCTGATCAACTGGTAAATCTACCGTACAATTTGATTAAATAAAAATTAACACTAGAGGAGTCCTGTGAGAATCAAGGGCATTTTTGAAAATTTTAAAAACACTGAAACAAGACATTGAAACAAGATATTTTTTTTTTTAAATGAAGCCTTCAAATGATGTAGAACTGGAAATAGGTTTAATACATGAGCTGTATTGATGTTATTGATGGTGTAATCATGACCATAAAATGTGTTGGTAATATATAAATTACTCAAACTTGCAACAACTTACGCATCTACAAAAGGGTTGCATGTACTGAAATTTGTACGAAGATATGGACCCCAAACTATTTATCTTGATGGGCCGAATGGCCTCCTTCTGTACTAGAAGAGATAGTTATATTTAAAAACACTGCAGGAAAATAGTGTTGCCATGGTGCTCAGGATTGCTAGAAAATCAGGAACAGAAAGAACTGACAGATGAGTACAGCTTCCATTTAATGCAAACTGGCAAGATATTGGTCACTGAAAAGGCAGATAATTGTGCAAAGACTAAAATAGACACTAATTATTGACAAGTTTTCATCACTTCACATGTGTGCAAGTTTAATTATCTGCAACTCAAATTTTATACTTTTTTTAGAGGAAATCCAAAAGATGGAAGACTTGTATATATTAAACTTGCAATATTTTCATCCAAAATTGTAGCTTCATTCTATAATTACAAGCCAGGAACCCAGAATTTAAGATTTTCTGATGTGGTTTGAAGTTGTATTTTAATTGCAACAGCAGCAAATTTTATTTCTCACAAACACTAAACAGATCGGCCGGTTCATATGATGACATATTTAAAATACAAGAGTAAACAAGCAAATATTGGGTGGAACGAGTCTTCTGCCTCAGCACAATCTTTATATGACACACATGTTCCTTCTCAGAACTTACCTCGTTCTTTCAATTTAATGTGAGAGAATTCAAAACAATGTATTTATTCTTCACATAACACACTGAACATAGGAGCATTGATCGTACCTGGCAACTGGGAAGATCATCGCCAAAGAGGTGGTGTTGTAGAAGGCTGGTAATCCTGAGAAAAGGCAGACAGAACTGCTTGATGCTGTGTTCTATAGACTGAAGAGACCAGACACTGGTGCCAAGCTGATCGTTGGGAGGAAGGTTGAAGAAAGCGAAAAAACAGCAATGGCTTAATTTGTTTTAAGTCATTTAATCATGTGAATTTTAATGCATAAGACAATCACACATTAACACAAAGAAAATTTGATTTCATATGGTATAAATTAGAATATTTTATGGAAAGCTGTGAAAATTTAAATCTATGAGGAAAGCTGATAGCAAACCAAATTCTACAATACAACATAGATTGATATAGCACCTTTTCTATCAGGAGGCAGACTAAGCGCTCGCTACTGAAGAGGGCGGTGGGGGCAGGGGAGGGGAAGAGGAGGGTAGTCGAATGGCTGAAAGCTCACATATTAAACGTGAGGCAGATTAGGTGATTAAGTGGAACCAAGTGAGGAGGGGGCTGGTAGCTTTGTGCTGCCTGCGTGGGAGAGAACATTGGCTGCAGAATTCTGGATGGTCTGTAGTTTGTGTAAGAAAAGGTCCGACATTATGAATAAATGAATGAGGATCTCGGCAGCCCGGATGGGGGGCTGGGTGGGGTGGGGAGGTAAAGATCGAGGTAGGGGCAGGCAATGTTGTGGAGGTGGAAGAAAAAGCTGAGAAAGACAGTCAAGGAGTCAAACAAGACACTGTGAGGTGGAGTGAGCATCTGTAACAAGGTATTGAAGGAAGTGTTACAGACCAAAGTGTATTCGAGTTTTCATTATATAGTATTGTCTACACAAACAGCAGGTTTCCAATTTTAACAGACTGTTCAAATTAATTGACATTAAGTCTGCTCTTGACAAATCTGTGTTGCATAGTTTTTGCTCTCTAGCAGCCAAGGTTGCCAGGACTCTGCTGTAAGCATCCTTGCACGTGGGTGGCACTGTCAGCTTGTGCCTGGATATTAACCGGACGCAATGTGCCTGTAGCAATAGCTGCTCCTGAACAAAATGTGGGGAGGAGCAAGATCGACACCGTTACTGACATTCGTAAAGCTGTTAAGAATTTATTTTTAGATACAAAACAAACCAGAATCATCAGTTGTGCAGGAAACCTATGATGGTGCGTCATGAAAGGACAGGGCAATTGCTACAGTATTACACACACACACACACAACATAAAAGTTAACCAAAGATTTCAAACGTAACAACAATTTGTGGCAGGGGTTAATTTTATGTACATACCATAAATACTGGCTCGTTCTCCTTTCCAAAGTAAAGTTTGCCTCTGGACAGCTCACTGATTACATGGCTTAGTAATACCTCCAAGGATTTATCTGAATTACACATGATCTATGAAAGTTAAATAAAAATAAAAAACGGTTACGCAGTGTATCTGAATGCACAAACACAAAACATATATAATATGCGCGGCAACAGGCAAACAATATCATTTAAATAAATATGGTCACTAAAATGTTCGTGAAAGAATAACGAAGGTGTGTGAAACCTATCCAGTATTTCACAAAGTTGAGCTGTTCAGGACCACTGATACCACTGGCCAACCGGCAAATGAATAAAATTAACTAGAAAGGAAATATTAACGAGAACCAACAGTCATAAAAGTATGAAGTTTAAAAGCAAGAATTTCAGGAACTCAATTGCTAATATTTTTGATATTTGTTGGGAGCTTTAAATGACATTGCAGTGTTGCCTCAAGCCTAACTGACAGTTCCATTTTTAATTCCAGAAAGTGTTCTTCTGGGTAAGGACGTTATCCAGCTCCTCAGATTCTGTAATGTTTAACTTTATTGGATACATGATGGGCTGGAGCTGAAGACATTTAGGGATGACAAACTAGCACGAGTGAGAGCACTGCCTAGAAATGTTCTGCCAGTATCTTATAAGTATAAAATAAAACGTCCAGCTCATTCAAAGAATGTAAGAGTGAAAGTGAGAAAACAGAGAAATTCATGCCCTTATAGGTTAAAGTTATTGTTCATTTTAATGACACTGTATATTGGGACGTCCTCCCGACGCTATACAAGTAATCTTGTTCGTGTATAACTCAGCAGAAATAAGAAAGGGAAAAACTGTTTTGTAAACTGTGAAAAGAAACAGAAAAGATTACAAAGATGATTCTGAAGAATAATGCTTGCAATTAAGGCAGCCCGATCACAAAAGCATAGACTACAAAGCCAGACTGAGAAAGAAGACGGGACAGAAAACCTGAAAAAACTTGAATTGGATAAACGCTGAAAGAAAAATGCTTTCAAGTCTGTTATAGACTAACTGGCTTCACTCTTGGCTGATAACTTCAAACCTTAATGATTTGATAAAAGAGGATTGTTCTAAGTGGCAGGCCTGCAGATGCTATTTAATGACTTTAAGACACAGCTATAAATGCAAGTGGTATTGCCTTAGACATGATACAAAAAATTCCTGCCTACAAGGCAACAGTATAAAATACATTCAATGTTTCCAATCTTGAAAAGCACGCGAAAAAAACTACTGATTTGAAGCTATAAATGTTTTATTTGGTGCACATGAATGTCAGGCAAGTTTCACGAGGTAATATTATGTTTCAAGGACAAACATCAAAATGCATCAGACCTAAATACAACCGGGTTGTGTTCATACAGTGCTTTCATTCAATGACAAGATATGTTTAAGTGGACGTTTGTTGTTGCAGAGTGCAGGTGCTTGAAACTCTTGTCAAGGAAGATTCACTGATATGTCGTGAGTGGCACGAACAAAAGAAATGGCAAATGCAAAATAACGCCCACATTCTTCCATTTGCTTCTGTAACTGCCAGGATTCAAGAGGTGATGGGAATGAGCAGCCTTCCAAGTTCACCTTTTTGACCTCTTTAAGAGAAAATGACTTAGAAGAATATCATGGAATGAGAGTAGGACACGAAAGCCAACTGGAATTCGGATTCACTTTCCAGAATACAACTGCTTGGTGTGTCGCCCACCAGACTAAATTCTTAAATCAGACAATCAGCCAAAAAGACAGAGGAGCAGAGATTGCTTGATATAGCTCTGTGTCTTTCAAACAGCATCCTGGATTTGTGGAGACCAGTTACCCCTTCATTTCCATGAGTACTTTCTTATGCTCAGTACTGATGCTGATCTGTTATTGAATAAACTACTTCTTGGCAATGTAAGAGTAGTTTCTGGTGGGGAAACATAATCTAAGACATATTTCACACAGACAGTCGCATTGTGACAGCAGCCACAAAACATGGCTCTTCACCACTGTGAAATTCTGATAACACTTGATGCATTGGCTAAAACTTCAGTTGATAAGCAGTCCCCCTCCCCAAACAAAACTCATCAATCAGAAACACCAGTCGGAAGGGTGAGCGTGCTAAAAATAGAGAAAAGTAGTAATCTATCAGGTCAGAGAAGGTGCTTTTATGTGGAATAAGAAGGAAACATCATGAATATCAAACAACACCATGTCAGTATGAAGCAAAAATCAGAGAAAAATATGTCCATGTTGTTTCTTTACATTGGTAGAGTTTATTTACTTTTGTAATATTTGTCCACTGAGTGAAGAAAAACTAAATGATCACATTACTGATAGGCATCACTATATAATTCATTATGTCTTACTGAAATTTCTAATCATTACTAAAGGTTATTTCTTGGTTAGGTATCACAGAGTATTAATATATATGGAATTGGACCTTTCATTTTTAAACTCTGAAAACAATAGGACTAATTCAGTTATAGTAGTTAACTGAATCCCATTTAAATTAGTTTGCATATATGGACCATTAAACAGATCATTGTCGAGTGAAAGCCCCTCAGTATGATCAATGAGCTGTATATTAACACAAGGTGCATAAGAATGCACAACATTACTATTTGCTTTTAGAAAATCATTACAATCGTGAGTAGCTGGAACCTAGTTCAGGGTTTTATAAATAATATTCAAAGGCTAAGGATTAAGAAATTAAATTGACTGGAGTTTCTATTTTTTAATTAACTTATAAGGAAATATTGGTGGCTTGTTCATTCAATTGCACTCTTGTTTTCTTTAAAAGGATAATTTACACACTATAATGTTTGCACGCTGACAGAAGTACAGCTGTGGTTTGCTTACTAATGTCCATAACATTCAAACCAAGATGAATGATATCAAATAAGCGACACATACAACTTTACATGAAGACTTGTATAGAGTAGTCAGATGGAAGCCTGTCATTTGTTTGCAATCTGCTAAATAACAACAACAACTTGCAGTTATATAACGCCCATCACGCCAGGCAGCGTCTCAGAGCGCTTAAATAATGGGTAACTATACATATGGGTACAATCTATATAATTTTACTGAAAGAGCAACCGTTAAAACAAGCATCAGTCTTGTATACAGATAAAATTTAGCCCTACATATTTTAATCTCACCTCCTTGAATTGTATATGAATAGACTGACCTTGAGTTTTCCAGAATTCTTCCAAGCTGCTCTTTCCTCAGCATTCATTCTACCAGCCAGGGCTGCAATAGCTTGTGTGTATAAAAAAGTATACAACACTTTCACAATACAGGTAAAGTGCTCTGCAAAACAAACAAAATATTCGGTATTTTGAGTCAAAATACTGACTTAAAAAAAACTGTGAAGATCACACATAGTGAACGAATGTGCATCATCACCAAATTAGACGTAGAGCACAACTCGGTTACAGAATTGGTGGCTCAGAGCCATAGATGCTTCCATCAATTCTTTGTAACTTTACTCAGCTATAATAAGAGCACTAAGATTAATATCTAGTAAATCACTTTTTAAAAGGTGCTTCACGTAATAAGTTTGAATTCATGCAGTATTCAGACTAGATAAGGGCCATCGCATCCAACATTGTGGGTCGCACAAGCATTCAGCGAGAAAATTACAGTTAGATTTTATTTCACAATAACTACTGTATGTACATTGAAAGCTTGGAATTGACTGGTAAGGCTCTGAAAAGTGCTCAAAAAATAAAATGAGAGTTTCACAACATTCTGCATTAACAAATCAAGTTTTTTTTAAAAACTATCATCAATTCAAAAGGCATTTTGCTGAAATGCTTGTATTGACACCAAATCAAAATTATGCAGACGTAACAAGCCAGACAAAAGTTTACCCTAAGCAACAGAACATCCTTCAAGGCATAGCACCTCTCTTGTGACCATTCAAACTTAAATGGCAGTGGAAAAAAAATATGTGGAATAATGTTAAGCGACAAGGTGATTGTTATCGTGTACAAGAAAGACTGTCTTCAGGAGGGAACCGTAAACAACAGCTTGTTACTTTGCCATTAAATGCAATCCGATAGAAAAGGAATCTTTTAGTTCGTTTGTGGCACTGCTGTGCACAATTGGCTGCCACATTTCATCCACAAACTACAGTCAATCCCCTTCACAATATATTCTGTGAAGCGCTTTGAGGTGTCTCAATGACGTGACAAGATTCTTCATCAAATGCAAGAATTATTATCATTATGAGTATAAATTTTTGAGGGACTGCCTTGGGACGTCCTCCCAACGTGAATGACGCAATAATAATATAATTTGTTGTTGATTAACACACCTGTATTCCAAAGAAACATTGCTGTTGTGATTTTACAAGCTTTTTACCTTTTGAACGATACACTTTAATCCAAGGAATCTTTACATTAATGTTAGGACTAATATCCGTGAAACTATTTGCGTCACTTTGAGATCACAATTTGAAGTAAGTAAACCAGTTTGAAGCCCAAATGGAAACATAATAGAAAATACAATTAAGATGGTGTGAGCGTTTCACATTCCCCATAGTTTGCATCAACTTTGGTACAATCTACNAAAAAAGATTTGTCTATAGCAAGACTTCATCTCTTTGTAGATAAGCATGACGTTTCTGATTTCTACTCTAATGGGACAGTATTACAGTTCCTCTGCATCAGCACAAATACGCCATGATGGGCCTAATAGCATCTTCCTGTGCTGTAAATATTCTTTAAATTCAGCTGTTGAACAGCTGAAAGAGATGAACATAAGAGCTCATTCCTCATGTTGAGCTTGGAGTGCTCAAGCTTCCTCAGGCTAGATTATTTAACTTTCATACCATAAAAACACATCCCTCTCCGCAACAGAATGAAAAGTTTTGTTCTGTACAGATGATTTCTAAAAAAAAAAGTATTTTGGTTGTGATCTAATCTATTGTATTTCTGTGCACACAAACCAACCAATAACTGCCTTAAAATACTTAATTATTTGCTTATAGAAATCAGTGGTACTGCTGTCAGAAACTAATATATTCATTGGTGCTACAGAGAAAATGGAAGTGGATAAATTAGATTTTAAATAAATTATTTCAAATAAATTGAGAATCATTATTATTGCTCAGTTAATGTCAAAAGCTATTTACATTTTTCCAAGCCACTTGGACACTGCTGTAACCTTCAAAATAAATTCCACCGTTGTTTCTATTAATCATTCCCCTTACACTTTTCACATTGCCAATAACAAATGATGTGCTTCTAAAGAGTTCAGCAATCAATGTTCGACAAGGCTACCTGCACTAAGGAAAACAACCTCAATAAATGAAAACTGAGAGAGCGGTGTAAGTGGCACAGCGGGTTATTAACCCACTAGCATTTCAGTTCTTGGGACCTGGGTTTGAATCAGCCCAAAATAAACCGATGAAAGTCGCTCGTTTATTCTTTGAGGGTTCAATATTAATAGGTTTGGTTTTTGGTGGGTATGTAATAGCTCAAATTAACCCGCAGATTGGCACAAAGTAGGAGTAAATCAGCATTCTTGCTTGACAGGCCACAAAAATGTAGGAAATGGAAAAACTCAACTATAATAATCATTGCATTTCATAAAGCGCCTTATCACATTGATGAGACATCGCGAAGCATTTTGCAGAATATATTGTAATGGTGAAGTGATGGTCAAGTGGTGATAGTGAGGAAATCATACCCTTACAAAACTGCCCACTATACCGAGCTGACAGCAGTCAAGACGGACACTGAATCCTTCTCCAGGGCCCCTAAATTCTTAGCAAGGTGTGATGTCCGGAACTGGATGGGTAGGAAATAATGATCGAGGCAGCACAACCACGAAACAAACAAACTATTGTGCCCTTGTGTGTCAGATTCAGATTTTTGTAAAAATCCTATTTTCCCACCACATAAAACAATACAGAGACTAAGACAATATTAATTGCCAGTTCCACTTTGACCCAGTTTTCTTCTTGATCTACGTGGGTTAATCCAGCACATTGAGTTTAATAGAGTGGCCCTATTTGCATTCTTAAATCTGTGGCTTATTCCATTATTTTCCAGATGCTGCGTGTGTACCTCCCTACATGACAACATCACTATGGCAACGAGGTCACTGCTGGAGTGGAATCTGCAGACAATTTACACTCCATCGCCTCTAAATTTATCCAGCTTGAAACCTGTATTAGGGATGGTGTTACTACGTTTTGCAACACCAGAATTTTTAATTGAACTGGAGGGTTGAGCGATGGGAGAAAAGGGAGCAGATGTTACTAATCTGTTCCGGGGTTGAAAAGCACAGTACAAAAATCAGACACACGACACGCACTGCGACCAGAATGTAATTTTCTTTCCCCTCCATTATCAGAGTGCTATCCCCTCTCCTCATTTTAATGACACTTATTTTTTGCTTCTGACCCAGTTTTTTTTTTAAAAAATAAAAAGTACAACTTGAAGAAAAGTGCAGTTTACAAGTATCTAATCCACACCACCCTTTCACCCAAAGGCCAGATTGCAACCAAAAAGGCCAAACTGATGGAACTGGCCACACGGAAGATATCAGAAGGTATTTTTGTTGTATAATTTGTGAAAAATAATAGCAAATTATTTTGTGGCGGGTAATTGGAGTTGAGGTACAGATCAGCTCGGCTCTTATAAAATGGCGGAATGGGCTCGAGGGGCTGAATGGCCCACTCCTGTTCCTATAAATACTTCATCTTCCATATTACATGAGCAAACCATAAAGCATTTAAAACAAAAATAAACACTCAAAATCGTTGCATAATTTAGTGCAAATAACATTACTAATTATTACTGATTTGTGGGTATGTTAGACATTTCACTCAAGGTCAAACAAAGTAAATGTTCCCGTTGCTACTGTACAGATCTTCCTCCTTTCCCCGTGCCCCATATTTAAAATGCACAAAGCTACATTCTATAGTACAGATATAGTTGTAGGTCATGCATGCTGCATTACTTCAGTTAGAACGTAACTCTACATCTGAACCCAGTCTAACCAATCAATGTGCTCCAATTTCTCTCACTCACCTTTTTGACCAACATTCAAATTATCAACACACTCACAAATGTTTTGACCTTCATCATGAAGTCCTTTCTGTAATAAAAGACTCAATTTGCAGCAAAGCCTCTTTGTGATGGGAGCAGATCAATTTTCGTTCACAAAATAGACAGGATAAATGACATTTACTTTGGTTTAATCAATATTGGATTGGAAAAAGCACCAACTCCTATCCAACTGCTAACAAGACAGTTGATATGATTCCCATCGTTCCAGTACAGGAACAAAAGATTGTCTGAATTCCCCTTCATCAAACGTCAATCTGATGTTCCCAAAAAGCCGATGTTTGAATATTTCACTTAAAAGCTAACTAATCGAATTCATCATATGCAGCTTCATTCCTCATACAAAGCATCTGAACTTTTTTTGTTGTTTGTTGTTTCATTTCAAATTTTATTTTACTCAGAAACAATTTAAAAATAGATTGCTTGTATTTGGTGACACTGACTAAACAGCTCGGCGACTTTGCATTCATCACACATTCTACCCTCCCTCAGGCTACATGTTGACATTCCAAGTCACATCCAGTAGACATTACTGTAATTATCATTTGTGTACAACCTTATATTATACACGATTGCTGCAATTGTAACTTCTCAAATTCAACATAAATTGCTATCTTTTTTATCCCTCAGGCATTCAGCTGAGCTTGAAGGATCACACAGATCACAGAACAGTTAACAGATGAAGGTCATTCTAAGGACATTATTTCACCAGTAAAAAAATAAAAGCCTGGATGTTTTTCCAAGCCTCATGTCCTTTCCATTCTGGAGGCTGATCAAAAAAAATCAGGCAACCCAAATAAGTAGGTGTATTCAAAATGTATTTTGTTCTCATTTGTACATACAAATTTAAAAAGTCATCAGTTTGCTAAACTGGGCTGACTTCTGAGTGTCTGTTGCATTCAGATAATTGTTGCACGTTGTATTTGCTTCTTGCCAATTCAGTACATTGAAGATAGCTGCACAATTCAGGGGGAAATCAACAAACCGCAAGGTTAAAGCTTACCTTTGTGCAATTCTTGTGGCATAGTTAAAACTAGGATAAGAAGGAGAGATGAAACATCCCGGTACAACAGTGGCACCTCTGGCTTCTCATCATCACAGATTCTGAAAGCAGAAATTAAATGGATACAGATTGCAAAGATTGCTGCTCACACTGATTAGTCACATGCAAAACTGATCGCTTTGCTTGTGATCTGAATGTTAACAACCCAACACTATTAAATGTTTTTAGATTGTATCTGCTTCAAATGAATTCCATTATGCAGTTGACCTTAAACTGCGAATAAGCACTTGAAATCATTTTCCACCTTGAAGACTGATTCTCTGGAGAACTGTGCAACACACAAAGGTGCAATTACTTCACAATAACTTTCTATTTAGCAAAACTGATAAAAGGCAGCCTTTGGAACAATGAAAACAAATATTTATGAAAGATAAACATCAGAAGGTATTTAACTTCTCTTTTTCCCAAGCTAAACTTAAGAGTCAGAAAACCGTTAGCTAGTTCAGATCTACAAAATAGATTTGACTATTGGCAGAATCTAAATTTATATTGAATCTAAATTATTTGCTCATCTGTATAAAGATGCACTGTGCAATTTCGCTGCTGTGCAGTCTCACCCTGCCCATGCCCATTGTGGTCACAAGAGACGTGGAAAATGTTTTGAGAATTTGCTCTGTAAAGTCACAAGAGAGACCATGCTCCTTTAGAATGCATTGCCATTTCTTCTGCAGGGAGTGTGATATAGAAATTAGAGGACAGAAATTAAATTACTCACTCTGAATCATTAGCCTGCATAAGTTGTGTCAGTCGTGTCCAGGGATTGTAAGCAGAGTCAATTCTGAACAAGCGCATGTGCATGGCTAACACATGGAACAACTGGCCTGAAACACAAGAAGAAACATTTCACAATCGGATTCAACGAGAGGTTAACTCAGTACTGTGCTTCCACATTATGGAATACTGTTTCAAAATTATTGTCCAGTTGAAGGTATTCAGCAGACCCCAATAAATATCCTATTTCACATGGCCATACTTGCTCTATCTTAAATTATGGTTTCCATTCGTACTATTGGGAAAAATATTTTAAATTACAATATCTGATTATAGCTTATATGAAGTGCAAAATTTCTTTGAAAAATAGGCCTGAAACCCAGGTGCAATTTAAACAAAGTGATCCAAGTGATGTTTGCATTTAATATGCAAAATTTTACACTGAGAAACAGGCACAAAACGCAGTATACACATTACATGAATTGCAAGTGTTAGCTGAACATCCATTTAATCTGACAAGAGAGGTTTGATTTGTTAGCCTTCAGAGAAACTTTTAGAAAATCACTGCAGCAGCCAGCAGAGAGATCACTGGCTTTCCTGGGCCACAAATTGAACAGGTTCTTTGTTAGTGCTGTAGCAAACACGAGCTGAAACAATGTTTTTGTCATATCTTTTGGCAATAATGCAATTTTTGTTTTTAAAAAGGCAAACACAAAATATTTCAAAGGCTTCAGAGTAATTTGGATGCCTTTCCCATTATGCCAGCTATTTAATTTCACCCACTATTGAAACAAAAGTTATGTGCCCCCATTTTTTTCCAATAGGCTAATAATGATCAGACATAACAGTTCCTAATGTAGCAAAATTCTTCACACAAAAACTATCCTAAGTCGGGCATTTCATTATGTGGCCAAACACAGTATTTCATTTATATTCTATTCTACACTCACTCAATACCACATGTTTACTTAAACATTAAAATTAATTAAAACTGATTTCACTAGTAATCTCTGAGGTGCCTTTTACATTTTCTGAGAGTGAATCACGGCTGCTTGGAAAGAATGGTTGCCAAATCACTTCATCCTCATTTACTCTGTATTCAAGAAGCAGATGATGGCAATCAATTGCAGGACCATCTCGATCTTCAATTATTTGAAAAGCTGTGGGCGGTAATTACAAGCCTGAGGCACCAGCAAAAAGCAGGTGACTGTGCCACGTGCCTGATATAAAAAAAATTGAGGATAATGACAGCCAATCAGACAACATTTTAAAGAAGAGTGTTTAAATTTTCACCCTATGCAATCGACAGTTCAGCGAGAGATATTCAAAATACATCTAAACGCTAAATAAAATGTATTCTCGTAGCTTTAAATAAAAGCTACATTTTAAAATGTACATTTTAAATGCATCATTTCTAAATTGCCAATCAAGGACATGACACTGATTATAAATTCTTGCGTGCGAGGCTTGTTGACCCCGAACAGCAACAGTGATGAAACATACTTACGACTAAATGATTATTCCCCCACTCACATGAGATTAACTATTCTTTGGGGGAAAATTGCTCATAGCAGGTTTAATGTGAAAACACCAGTCATTTGGATTTTTAAATGTAAAAATCGCGCAAAATTGAGTATCTCATAAAGGGGTTTATAAATATAAATTCTCCCCCAACAATGCTGCAAGCTAGAAAGCAGAATTTTAACCTTCAACTCTGACCCAAGTGAAAAATCCAAGGAAAAAGACCTTTCTATATACATAGATTGTTCATCGCAGTACATCCTTAGAATTCAGTTGCACTGTGAAAGTCTAGAGATTGAAGAATACAGTATTTAGCAGCAGGTTTTAAAGCATCCATTAATTCTTAAGAATTCACAACCGCACACACCCGTAATCTACAGCACTCAAACCTATTCAATTTCAAAATGATAACCCTTGAAATGCCCCAAAAATAGTTCCGTCTACACACCACCAGATTCTGAAAACATATTGATAACATTTCATACATTCTCAGTCTTAATTCTGCACTCAGCAAGAGTACAAAGGACCCAACTTGGGTCTATTTGAAAAATATATTAAAAAACTTTCAAGAAACATGAAGGAAGGAGCAATCGTAGAAAGTTTACAGGATAGGAGGCCAATCGGCCCATTTTGTCTGTGCTGGAACCAACTGAAACATGCAGCTTAGAAGAATAAAGCACTGGTAAGATGCCAGCTTTGGCCACCCTCAAACAAGGATATTTATTAGCTTGCATTAGTGAACATTTTCCATACATTATTTCTTTTATAGAATTAATTGGGGTTAATACATGGACTCGCAGCTAAAGGAGAGAAAAATTGTGACATGCAACTATAATGCAGAAAAATAAAGTGGAAAAGCACACATGAGGAGATGGGCAGCATGGGCAAGGGAAAAAAAACCTTCAACACAAAATGCCTGTCCTTTCTAAATGTTATCCCAAACTCGTCATCGGCAATAATTGTCTGCTTTCGTCTTGTCTGTCTATTCAGTTCTCTAGATCTTATCTTGCCTCAACAACAATTTCTGTCCCTTCCTTCCTCCCCACTTCAGTCTACCTGTAATTCTGTTGCAGTCATATTGCATGCACTATCAAGCTTTCACATTTCTCTCATTGTCCCTTGGCTGTATTGTATATGAGAAAAAGAAGATACAGAACCAAACAATAATTTCAAAAAGCATAACCACTTCTTTTAAACATCAACATATTGTGCTGCTCAAGTTGTATTTGAATACTATTTTGCTTCTATGCCGTATTCTGAGGTTGGACATGTTTTCTGTCCGCTGGGCTCCTACTGCCCCCAAACGGATTTCTTTGGATTATGTTAGCTCACTGTAAAACGTTAATGCATACGAATGTAATACTTCCTGCCAATCTTAAATACCATATCAGTCTAGAACTTGAAATAGTTATTAAAAGTTTAATAATTAAACTTGCAAGTGACCTCTATATTGCATTTACATTGTATTCTCGGGTCTGAAATGCTGCACTGCGTCCAGCGCCTTGGGACGTCCTCCTGACGTGAAAGGCGCTACACAAATGTAATCTTTTTGTTGTTTTTGTATTCAACCAGTAAAACTAAATGCTTTCCACGGTGGGTCAGATGCCATCACAAGTTGACCTATGAAAAGAGTGACCTACTTTGTACCAGTTCTGCTACTGTACACTTTTCCAGTCACCAGTGACTGCTGATACTCCAGGTAACTGAACTTCGAGATGACTTTTCTTTTTGTACTTGCTTTGAAGTTAACATGATGTTAAGACATTATGGTGTGCGTAACACAATTACAATCACATTCTGCACGTGTGAAAACACTGACACTAATTTTCCTGATTAGCTGCCAACTAAATAACTGGTAGAAACAGAAAAAGGTCTAGGAGCAAATTTACCCAATATTAAATCTTAACACAAGTTAATATTTTAGGATATACATAAACGTTGAAGTTGAACGGCCTGTAAAAAAGGAGGGAAAAGGAAGAAAAGAAAGCTTAAGATAATACCAGAGTCTTCAACACTCAGCTGTCACATAGTCAAGTTGGATTCAAAAGCCGCACTGATCTGGATATTTTTTTTTAAGTTGGTTGAAGTGACACCGGTAGATGAAGGCTGTCTAGTGGAAATAATTTACTTGGATTTTCAAAGGACATTTGATGACATTCAGCATATCATAGTTTGAAGGATTAAGACTCATGGAAATTAACAGCTAATTAGGAAACTGGATTTTAAAAAAACGACTTGCCAAAGGGTAGATGTCAGTTTTCCAAAGCCCACGTCAGCGTTCTTACCCACTCAACTTTCTCTCACCCTTGTAAGAGTGTTTGCCCGTCTCTACCATTACCTCTCCCCTCATACCAAATTCTAATATTCAAATCCCTCCAATCTTGGCCACCCAACCGCTACAATTTCCTTCAACTATCCCAACCCAGACACTCCCTTGCTCATTTTTGATGTGCAAAAATTGGGTAACAGAAAAAGAAACATGTCCATTAGAAAATTAATTTTCAGGACATGTATTGAACATAGACTACATAAGCCACAGGGTAGAACTGTAATTCAGCAAAGCAATTGTAACTGTACTGTTGTTAATTGTAAAAAAAAACGATTTGAAGCTCCACTGGCTCCCTATCACCAAACAGATCAATTTCAAGATCCTCACTCTTGTGTTCAAATCTCTTCACTCTCTGGCACCTCCCTACCTCTCTGAGTTCGTCACTTCCCAATCCACCACCCAGCACCTCCACTTGACTGGCACCGACCTCTTGTTTGCCCCTCGCACCCTCCGCTCCACCACTGGAGGTCGCGCTTTCAACCACTACACCCCAAAACCCTGGAACACTCTCCCTCAATCCCTCTACCTTGCCCCCCCTCTCCCCTTTCTCAAGTCCCGCCTGAAAACCTTCCTTTTCGACTGTGCTTACAGTCACTTTCCCCGCCCCCAGCTTGGAGTCAGGCTCTGCCACTGTTAAGTACTCTGAGACACTACCCTGAATGGAAGGTGGTATGTAAGTGCAAGTTGTTGTACCTTTCTTTTTCTCTTCTATTCTTCCTTTAGTGAGATAGCTGACGTATTTTTGCTGGGTAAAGCTTCAGAACTTAATATACAAGAAATCAGAAGTCCAGAGATCTGAACAGTTAGTTACAGGTCAAGTTGGATTAACCAAATAATGCTGCTGCCAGGTGACAAAAAGTAAAGACTTCCTTGTAAAAAACACCTTTGTTTTATCATAACAACATCCTTTCAACATACAAATATGGTTTGCACAAAGCTGCTGAACTATGTTGATTGTCATCACCTCAATGGCTAGGCTACCTACTGATGCAGTGATTTTTGAAGGATTGCAGTTGACATTTGTACCAAAGCAAAACATTTTAAAGACTCGAAAATTCTATCTGTAGATTTACTCAGACAATTTTTCACCTACTGCAATGTGATTTGAATCTATGTAACTTGATGCAATTTTTTGTGTGGAATATAGGCAGCAAATTACAATGTGTTATTGTTGGCGCATATTCTGAAAGCCAAGAGAATTCCGTATTAAAAGGGTTTATTGCAAAGCCTATTTGGAATTCTGACACAGATTTGTCAATGACAACTCAGAGAACACCTATGTCCAATGTGAAATGTCACATTCAGGCAACGTGTACACAGACACACACAAAAACTGTTTTTCACTGCTATATGACTGTCTGCAGTTTCTCGATCGATGCATTCACATTATGGTACTCTACGCAACCATTTTCGTCACACTGGCTCGTTCAGCATCACAGACAGGTATATCAATCATTACTAATTTCCAGTTCCCAAGAGAATCAGTTCCTCACAATGCAATCTACTCAAACAGCACCTGACCTATTTGTTCCCATTTTCTCCTTTGATATTCTCTGCTGTAGCAACTCACCAAGGACAGCATTTCTCAATTTCTACAGTATCTAATCAACAAACTTTACAATACTAGAAGTACAATGTGTCAAACTACACTTAATCACCAAAAAGACATCCAATTTTAAGAGCACCTATAGCCAGACAAGTAGAAAATCTAATGAAATGTTTCCAGCATAAAATGTCTACTATCTCACAAATACATGAGGTCAATGTTAACAAAGTGATTAAAAACAAATTCAAATGACAGAAATATTAGAATGAATTTATCGTGTCTTTTTTTTTTAGGCCACAGCATGCTTTATACCAGCCTCACGTTTTTTTTTGAAAAAGAGCATGAAATTATAAATATTTGCTTAATTTAGAATGTATACTTAAAAACAACTTTGATTGACCTGAGATCTGATCACGAATGCAACCCAAATTCCATCTTGGGACCAATATAGCAAGCCTAATTAGCAACGAAAGACAATTGATGCTCACATCCATCAGGTCCAGCAGTTAATCACGATTAGGCTCAGCTAAGTTCAGGTGTCAATGACACCCGAGTCCAATGTGAAATGTCATATTCACGGAACACGTAGACGTACATAAAAGTATACAAAGGAGCATGAAAATAAGTGAATAATAGAAGCCTATATGCACTCATCTAAGATTCTATTTAGTGGAAATCACTATTTGGACTAAACCAAACAGTTTTGCCATGTGTCTTCAATTTTCAGACATCAAGGGGTAGCTTGAGAATCTTAGTCGCAATGGTACAGATCAACTGTTCAAAAATACTGACAAGACTCACTGAATCCTTATCTAAATGCCGATAACTGGGAGCTAATACATTCATGTGGTCTGCAAGGTGACAAAAATGCACTCTGCACAGATTTTTAAAAAAAACTCTTCTATTATCCAACGTAAGTAAAATGTCATGTTAAAGGCAAATCAGCTCCACACTGTTTCTATATGTATATAACGCACTGTGGCAAACAGCACCCAAGGACAGATTGTAGAGTCCGAGGTCAGTCAGGTGTATTATTTCTATTTAGGCTTCTATTTCTATGCATGATGTAGCCATTTGTAATGATATTCAGTTCTTCATCAAAACAGCAGCGAAAAAAGTTTTAACTTTTTGGTTGTCATATCTTACAACAGCAACTTGGAATATTATCAAACACAAAGCCCTCCATTTTCAAAATGAAACCAATTTCCTCAGGTCCAAGAACTGGCCGTTTAAATATATTGTGATAAAGATGTTTTGTTGTATGAAAGAAAATGCTGGTGAATGTAATCTCCAAGTAAGTTTTATTCCTGTTTTCAAGTATTCTAAGTAAGTTTTATTCCTGTTTTCAAGAACAAGTGTTCAACCCTCTTCTGTAATTTTGCTAACCAAATTTAACTCGGGAAGCAAATGATAAACACTTGTATATATTCACTCACACTCCGCAAGAAATGGCAGAGATTGAAGCATGCTAATGAACACCTGTCTTCATTGGGTGCAAATCCTACATGTGGCTAGAAGCTTGCTGCTGAAATGAGAAGCAATACAGATTCTGAACTCTCAATGATTCAGTAGTAGTTAGGAAATAATCCATCAATATACATTAGTTATGTACAATATTTATGGTTTTCCTGGATAGCTGCTGATCACATAAAAGAACTACACAGAAATAACTCAGGCTACACTTACTTAAACAGGATCTTTTCAAGGTAGTGCTTGCTACCCCCGAACACAAGTTTCCTCCTCGATGAACCAATTCCAGCTCCAAATTCACCCTGAAGCAGAAATTAAAGTGTAAAGTGTAGTTACAATTTAAATTTATTTCATTGATTTTACACTCCAGGTTGAAATTAAAAACACATTAATACACTACAACCATTTTTTAATGAATAGAAATCTTCCAAAATTAAATAATTGAAACAAAAATGTACGCTATTTGCATCGGCTGAATTTTTTTAAGCTTCATAAATATTAGTTCAGTAAAGGATGATGCACTTGACTAAATTTTTTTTCCCAATACTATTTTTATGCGGTGTCAAGTGATTTAAAAAACCCAAGCTATTTCAGGACACTATCCCTAAGTTATAGCTTAAACCACAAGTCTGAAATGCAGTCTTAATCCTCTGTTCCTCAGAAAAAAAGCAATTTAATATTGATAATTTTCTGCTTAGGTCTCCATCTGTTTGCTGCTGATAAGAGCTTTTGTGTGACAGGGGAATTTTCCACTCTTCAGGCGATTTGCGATGTTCACTGAACTTCTGAAAAACTACCAGGGAGGGAGCAGCAACCAGGGATTGCAGACCAGTGGGCAGGATAGTAAGAGTCAAACAACATGGTGCAATTCACCATGAGAATACAAATGAGGGCAACGTGTTTAATTTAAACACTTGTGTCAGTGCACGCGTTCTGTTCATCTATCAAGTTGCATCGAGCACCAAGGTAACCTAAAAGCAAGCCTTTTGGAAACTGTGTTACAATCAAATTAAACCTTACTGGAGCCACTGTTAAACATCTGGATTTGTTTTTTGGAGGGGAGAAAGGAGAAAAACATTTATAGTAAAATATATTTAAGAACATTTCATTGAAAGTTGGAAGACACAAGGATCAAATTAATTTGAAAACAAATTGATGTGTATTTTGAAAACATAAATATAACCATTAAAAAACAGGAATGTTTTAAGAGATTGTACGCTTCTGGAAAAAATGTAGTACAAAAGACTTAAATTTACAATTTAACTTTTTGTGAATAATAAAATCGTCTCATCTGTTTTTTCCAGACACCTTATCACGAATTTGGTTCAGGTGAATAGCTTACATTGTTTATTACTCTAAAGATTAATGACAGACACAGGAACGGTTGTGATACCAAATTGGGTAAGATTGTGAACAAATTTTGAGAATGATTGTGAAAGGTTTCAGGGGAACATTTTCAGAAACACTTTCAGACATCAAAATATATTGCAGCTTGACACTACTGTTCATACGAAATACACTCATCACAGTCACATAGCAAAAGGAAAAGAACTAATATTTTTGACTGTTTCAATTTGACTGGTCTAATTAAACACAATTATCTAGTAAAATACACTGGAATCCATCAACCTTATAAGGTAGGTCTTTGGCATTGATCCACAGACCGCCGGCTTCCTGCATCCTAAATAACAGCTGACGTCAAGGACATCTTGCACTTTGAGGCACAGACAAAATGATGAGGTGCTATTTAATGCAAGATTATCACAGATTTCCCTGCATTTGTCTATTAACATAGACTCTTGTCTAGTAACAGAATATTCCCAATCTTACATCATGATACAACAAAGGTCAGTTCACACTTTGATTGAAGGCTTCTAGAAAGGTCGGCTTTTTAAATATTGTTCTTTACAAAAGGTCTTGTATTTCTTTATCAGCTGTAGAGATGGTAATTTATATCTCTGTCAAACCGCAGAACTGCCCAGCCAGCCAGACTAAAGTTTTGAATCACTTAGTTTCCTGGTTAGAAATTCACAGCAGTCACCATTAAGATCATATACTACAAAGCTTAATCTAAAAATTGACCCCATGACTGTTCAGCTTACTTACAGAGATGTATGGCTTCACACAGAGAGTGAAACACAAATAAAGTGCAAGAGATAAAGACAAGAAAAAAAGAGACAAATGAATAAATGTAAGGCTGGGCAGTTAGTTACAAGTAGACAGAAAAAAAACATGTACAGACAAAAGACAGGTATAAACAGTATATATCTGCCAATTTTGTATTACACTGAAGTTTCTCTAGTAGGACAATTGTAACCTTCGTGCAGCCAAACTTCCCCTGTTCCAATATATATATTTTTAAAAATCACAGATTTTTAATCTTTCCCAACATTTTAATATCAGTTGAAGTCCATTGGCCACCGTATCTACATTCTAGAGGTCAAAATAATTTTCAAAATAAGATATACATACCTAGCTACTGAATACATGAAGAGAAAGTCATTGTCAGGTGAACCAGGTGATTTCCCATAATCTATGTATTTCTTTTGAGTTGCATTCTTTATGTCTTTCATCACAGATTCCATCTCCTTGCTCAGATTTGTTACTGACTAATGTAAAGCAAATACAAAACAGATTTTTTTTTAAACCGAGACAAAGAACACCCTCAAGCTTTAATAACAAATCTTGAGTTGTCCAATTGACTTTTTTTTAATATAAAAAGGGCCATTTAAAAATAAACTCACTAATTAGATGACTATATTAAATACCTATAATAATCAAATATTATTTGGTTACTAAATGTAACTACAGTTTATTAAAACTCCCAAGGATTAATCAATCTATACCTCTCTTAAGCAGTGTAGTTAACATGTTTCAATTACATTTCACAACTTTTGAATAAAAATCTTTAAAATAAATGCACTTATTGAGAAGAAATTATACATTCACGTTACCAGGGGAATCGTAAACCTTGTTAGCACTTTTTGAAAAACAAATGGTTGCAAATTGATTCACAAAATTCACCATTAATTCTACTAATAATGAATTAAAGTGTGAAGCAAGGTTAACAGCACAAAAATAACAGCATAGGAAGGAAGTTAAACTAAGTACAAATGATTGCTTAGCCTTACACTGATGCTTACTGGGTACATTCCCATCTGTTCTTGCTGGTCCTCCACTTCTTTGACCAGTGTTTGGAGGCTCTTGCTGTTGTAAGGTGACCATCTACCTTTTTCCTCACTTTTTTCAGGATAACACGGGAGTACACTGTTAGCAAACTGTCTACAAAGGGGGCAGGTGAACTCTCCATTTTCGCCTTGGATACTTTGAACCACCTGATCATTCTGAAAGGTAAAACAAATGTAACTTTAATGGATAGACATATTCTAAGCATTACAAGGAAGTTCTCAGTTCTATAAAAAAGGGTTAGTTTCTCCAGTAAGCTTGTTCCTGTTCTGAGGAAGGAATACATCCAAACCATAAACCTATCTGTCCCTGTAGGCAGTTGATCATTCCATTTTGGATTTCCAATATTCATATTTTCATTTCATTTCCAGTTTATGTAGAGGTCACCTTTTTATTTATGGTAGTATAGAACCCTTCCAAAAACAATGAAGCTCACAACACTATCGTAAACTGAGTTTGTGATAAAATTTGAAGTAACAAAGTTAGATTATCTACTACATCTGCTATGATTTGAAAGTTGTTCATGCTGTATAAAATTATCTTCTCGGAGCCATGTAGGATAGGAATGTCGAAGAGACAAAAAAAAAACTGCAGGGAGGTAGAAGGCAGAAGAAACAACTAGAATATATCACTCATGAAAATCAATTGAAAATGTTAAAGTAGGAAGTAGTAGTGATCAGTCGTGATCAGTCACGAGCAGGTTGAGGCAGTCTCAGTCTTCTTTCTGTAAGGGCTTTGGATGAGGAGTAGAGGGCTTGGGATGAAAAAGCCTCACCTTGACTGCACCCAACCTTTACAACAAAAACTTGCATTTATATAGCGCCCTTCAAGTGGGGTAGCATCCTGGAGCGCTTTGCAGTGGCGGAGTCTACTTACTTTCATCTTGTGTTTCACTGCATCAGAAGGAAATAAAATACATTATTCTTGACAGGTGATCGATCGATCGAAGTTTAGGCAAAACTTTTCAGTGGACTTACCCTTAGTGACTCCATGTAGGATTTATGACAGTCAATATGCAAAGTGTGTCCACAAGTCTGAACGTACACACCGCCTTCCCAGCCTATGGACACCGACTGCAGGCAAGAACTCTACGTTGAGAATGTACCAAAAAATAAAAAGGTATCATGTTTGATTTTTACAAAATATTCAATGTCTTACAAAAGGAAAGGAATTATATCAAACAAAACCCATTTCTTGTTTTTACACATACAGTACATTTATTTTATACTTTGGTCTGATCACTTAATGATCAACATGGGTCATAGAAAAAGAGAAAGAGAGAGATCAGGTAAGTATATTAAGGGAACCTCCATTTAGGACTTACGACAGTCAATACACAAAGTGTGTCTGCAGGTCTGAACATACACACCACCTTCACAGCCTATGAACACCAACTGCAGGTAAGAACTCTACGTTAAGAGTGCTGTGTTTGTGTGAGATTAGCTACTGTGTTTTGTACTTGCATTGACTAGCAATTGAGAATGCACACCTAAGTGTAATACAGCCAAAGAGGTTTTTATCCTGTATCCCAAAGGTGAAAACACATACAGTAATTAACTCACTGTGTTACACAGCCCTTAGCTTCCAATGTGTGCTGCAATAAAACTCGGTGATGGGGATACAAGTGACCTGTTCTCATGTCTCTAGTGATGCCGCTCTGTGTGTGATCAGTCACGAGCAGTTGTGTTGGTGTGGCCTCGGTCTTCTTCCTTCTACAAGGACTTGGGTTGAGGAGCATAGAGGGCCTGGGATAAAAAAAGCTTCACCTTGACTGCACCCAACCTGTGTTTCTAAGCAACAGCTCATTTGTTTCTAAGCAACTGGGATGGACTTGTGTCATGCGGCAATTACACTGCCCGTCACTATATTCCATCACACATTTAAGCAGCATAATCTTTAACCGTCTCTATCCCACCCCACCCACCCCCACTTGGCTTCATCTAACCCGAAAGGTTTCATCTCAGAATAGTGAGCTGTGGAGTTCAATGTCAGATTCAAGGTAGAAACATTTGCAACGCACACTTTCATTGAAAAAAAATCAGCAGTTATTTTTGTGTCCAATTATAAGTTAACGTCCCTTCAATAATTTGTTTCTATTTTTAGGTCCGATGGACAGAAGTAAAATGTAGTGCTTACATCTTTGAAGTATTGCTGCAATTCTGTGATCCTGACATCGTGTGCAGTGCCACAGGTATCCTCAGGGTAAATCTGCTCTTCATCACTGGTCGGCAGATTCTTCGGCTCAACGCTTTTTCGACGGTGCCCAAGGACTGCAATGAATTAACAAGTCAGTATTGGTATGTCTAAATGCCAAGAATATAGTATAACAAGCTTTATGATGATTCAGTCCTTTATGCTGCTGTTTCATAACTCCCGAGAAGTACCACGTGTGAGAATTAAACGAGAACCAAGAACAGAAGAGCAACAACTGCACACGCATTTGGAAGGAAGTAGGGGATTCTGATTGCTTCTATGAGTAATATTCAAACATAAGCTGCTATATATAGCTGCTCCTGAGTCATAGCTACATAAGAGCTCGCAATTCAAGCCTAAATACAATTCTGTCCTTAACAAAAACATTTGCAATAATTAAGTCAAGAGTACAACTGCACGTTCCAGCCAATAACTGAAAATGGAAAATTAAAATATTCAATAGAAGTAGTTGATTTTAAAAACATGAAATAAATCTACCTATAACTATCGGTACCAGTAAGTCCAAAGGGAGAAATATCCTCTTGGTAGCTATAAAACTTGCCATTTTCATCAACCTCCTCTCTTGATAACTGTTTGGCACAGTGGTGGCTAAAATGTGACATTTGCAAACCAGATTTATTGCATTCATAGCAACTTCTGGTACACAAAGCCCAAGCCAGGAAAATCTGAAGAATGGCAGTCAAGCAAACGTCAGCCAATTCCTGCCGGCATTTTTACAGACTTTGTTGGCAAGGGATTTACAATTTGCCTTTGCAAATCTCAAGACCACAGTTTTGTTTAATGTTGTGCTGATATTGCTCATTTCATGTCACTGTAATATAAACCCTGACTTGCTCCAGCAGGAATCATATAGCAGATCCGCTTCTAAGACCACACTGAGAAGGTAATTTCAGTAGCAGCCTGATTTGCCCACCGTATCGTTAATAACTTTAATAAAATACCCTTTAATATTGAGCGTTTCAACAGCCCAATGTGATGAGGAGTTGGAAGTATAAATCAAGCATCCTGTTCCACATAAATCTACTGTTTAAAACAAAATCTCTTTGCTTCCAGCAGTGTAGATTTCCAACAGTATAAATTTCCAATGCTGCAGCCCCAAAAATGAGATTCTTTCAAAGCTGGTCATGGATCGAATTGAATGACGAAAGTGCCTTATAGAACAATAGCACAAGTTGAATTTCAAAATTAGTTCTACATTTTGTGAAGTGATACAGATGTTTTAAGTATAGAAGTCGCTATTAAGTAATCTTACATCTTCACTGAAGCAATATAAATGATCTTTCAATTCCAAATGCTCTGAAAAAACTTGTAGGACAGTAGAAATTGGATTGAACATGCCTCTCTGAATAAACCTTTTGATTCATACTTCTGAGTTTTAATCAAAGGTGCGTTCAGGGAAGAAAGCATTCCACACAGCACTGCTGAATTTTGTTTTGGATTCCAGGGCCACTCTTGTTTTAGCAAGCAAACATTCTACACAGAGCAGCAATTTACATTCTAGAATACAGTAGCATTTTGCTGCTCTTCTTCCTGACGTGAAAGGCGCTAAATAAATGCAGTTTGTTGTTCTTTGTGTTGCCGCATTTTAAATTTAAGCATTTCAAATATTTTGGGGAAACCAAAACGCATTAAAAAGGTGCCATTTGTGGAAAGGATTACCTGATGAAGCCTGCAACAAAACCACTAATCCAGTTGGTCTTTCCTCAGTAGAAGGGCCACTTTGTCCACAAATGACACAGTCATACACAGTCTCGGATTCCAGCTGTTCTGACGATCCTATATCCATGGCAACCTCACTGACAGGTGATTCTGAAAGAAAAAAAAAGCTGCATTGAGAATCCATTCAAGTGGGTAAAGCAACGCAAAATAAAAAATATTTATACAGATTTATACAGATCATCATCAACACTAACTGAAATGTAAGAACATCACACAATTTTTAATCGAGAATCTCAGTTGCTCACCTCTCTGTTTATAAACATGCAAGGAAAACCTGGATAGGTCTAAGTTTTTTAAATCACAGAGTTTGTTTGTATGCTACTTATCAGCATAAAGACATCTCCTTATGGACTGACCAGTACAACCATCACCTATTGTCCTTTACGTGCACCAGGGCTTGACCCAAAGAAACAACATGCCACTGGACAGCGAATTCTCCATGTCAATATCAGAACAAGCCTCACCTTTAATGCCTGTATATTAGAACAGAAGACAGAGAACTGTAGATTCAAAGGAACCCATCAATATAAATATATACACTTTCCCCAAGGTTATTCCTTATGAAGATAAATCATCCCAATTTTTCCATATTTGGCCTTTTGCATAAAAATAATAAAGAATCCAAATAAGGTCTTATTTAACCTTTGGCAGTGCTGCCAGAGCTCCTACAGAATTGTGACACACAGCAAGAGTGTAAGTAGGACATCAGCCCCAATACAAATACTCCTAGCATTCTCACTCCCTCCGCCCTACACACTCGGCCACAGTACAAAACTCACCTACAGTGTTTATTGTATTATGTTGGCTGCTGCAATGTAATGAGTGGTCAATTAATCAGAATTCTTTTGATGTGAATTTGGATGAGGAAGGAACATTAGTCAAAACATGCATTTACATGAAGTAAAAGCATTTGCTTTTTTTTTTTTAAAAAGGCACTCTATCACTATGGCCCAGCACATCAACCAGTCTTTTCATTATTTTGTATGATAATTAGTCAAAAACTCCAAGCAGAAAGAAAAGTGCCTTTGCAGAGACTTAACTAAGAACAAGTCTAATTAGATTGACACTCATCTATCTTTCTCTTGCAATTTAGATATTTAGAAAATTTAAGAACACATTAACACCCCACGGAGCAAACCACTGTTGACCTCCTTCACTTTAAATCAGGACTGAAAAAGGTTGGTAATGCACATGACCAGGACAGATGATAGCTGCAAGGGACAGAAAACCCTCAACATTTCATTTCCAGTCATGAAGCTAAAATCTGGGCTGCCTTGAATTTAACCTAGCATATTACATTAATGAAAGCCATTGAAAGTAATTTAGAATCAGTATCGCAATCCAATCATTGATAGAAAACAAAGTCTCAACTATGTGAATTTATGTGAAGACAACTGTTTATTCTGAACTTTCTAACTACACTCAGAAACTTGGTGTGAACCCATTTAATAGGTCCAGGATATGGATATAAATATATGAAAGAGCTTTAATTGATTAACTGAAAACAGGTTTGACATCCCAAATCTTTTTTATGAACTAAGATGTCACTGCTGAATTCAACTTTCTTCCAAATAAAAGTGAAAGGCTGCACTGCACAGTTGCTCACATCATAGTCACAAATTATGATTCATAGTGACCTTAAATTTCTCTTTGAAATGATTGCTCTGCTTTTATTTAAACCCGAGGGGAGGGGGGAAAAAAAAAAACTCTTCCCAAAGTCACTGACTCATACTGCAGCGTGGCTCTATGACTCCCATCATCTCCAGGCTCGACCTCTCCAATTCTGTTTGTTCATTGTATTTCCCTGCTTGCGGACTGCCAGATACTTCCTACACAAGATGCAGACCTTCTCCAGAGCTCTGGAGCTCAAGGAATCCACTTTTGACCCAGAAAGATGCTAAAGATACATTTAGCCCTTATTAATTGCCATTTAATGCAGTATATTCTGTGAAGCGCTTTAAGATGGCTAGAAGACATGAAAAGCGCTATATCAAACGCAAGTATTATTATTAATTAACAAAAAACATATAAATGATATTGGATATTTGTGGATGACCAGTGATTATGACACTGAGTTATCAAACCTTTAATCGCCATCTAGAAGCATGCCAACAGCAGCCAGATATACCAAGTCCTCAATTTTAGTCTAAACATACAGATTGCACCTTCAGTCAGCTTCCCACCCCGAAACCCCTTGCCCTCCACCATCCTTGATTCCAGCCCCCAGCTCGGGTGCAGACCCTTCACTGTCCAGTATCGTGGGACGTCTTCCCAATGTGAAAGGCGCTGTATAAATGCAATTTGTTGTTGTTGTTTACAAAACATTATGATGCAAAACAACATACATAGGATTCAGAACCCAGTGACACTTGCCCGGGAAATAATGAACCCACAGGATCCGCCAAGTCTTTAAAATCAAGAGGAAAAATTACTTGTATAAATGACTGCAATCCCAACTTTAAAATGTTCCATATGGTTGGACATCTTATAGAAGTGGGCCACAGTGGAAATCAATTTCCTGTGTTTTAATGTAGGACATTTTAAAATTGGAACCAACTAGGAAAACCGCAACAAGAAATGAACTATTCTAAATTAAATATAAATGTCACCAAACTGTTTTCAATTACAAGAAAGTACACCAAAACATATTTTGATAAAAGGTCAAATAAAGGTCTTCTATTAACTCTACAGGAAAATTGCTCCAGCACAGTTAATAGAAAACATGTTTCATGATAAAAGCTATATATAGTACTATTGCTTCAGGCAAAAACAATGCGTTGTATTACTACAGTGCCAATAATTGACAAAAACAATATAAATCATTCATAGAAACTGGCAGATGTAATTGCTATATTCACACAATAAAGTGAACTACAAAATACAGATAGTAACGTTGTTTCCTTCAAATGTAGGTTCCCATATAATTCACTTCAATTCTGCAATTTATTTCTTCTCTCAGATGCATGAGTATTCACACTTATCATATTTTATGTATTTTAAATGTACACTCATAACACTGGTCGTTTTGACACTTTCTGCAGTGCACATACAAAACATATCAACAGTATAACCGACTCCAAACTTGTCAGAATGGAGTCTAATTGAATTCACCGTTCCATTTCAAAATAAATAGTACCAGTTAATAGGATAAAATGTACAAAGCGGTTCTATTTTTCTAGTATTTTACTAAAAGATGTGTATTTCAGGTTGCAACCATCCTCACTGATAATTTCTGTATTATCAAAAATATATTTACTGTATCTTCGGTTTTACAATAATTCAGTCAATTCATTTTGTGGATTTTACTGCTAAGCTCTGCAGTGGCATGTTTTGTGCAAAAATGGGAGTTGATTATAGACAACAAAGGGGATTAAACAAGACTTCTTCAAATAAAAAAAATTCAGCTTTTTTCCATAAAAAAAATCCAAGCATCTACCACCATCTAGTGGTTTCATTGGCAAATTAGCACACAAATAGAACTTTTTTTTTAAATTATGAATTGAAATTGTTTGAATATAGTAATATAAATGGAACCACTCTAGACTGCCCATGGCTCTTCTATGTTATGCAAAAATATTAAAAATAATAAAGTACAACAATAACACAAATTGCATTTATATAATGCCTTTCACATCCAAAGGATGTTCCTAGGCGTTGGACAGTGGAGGGTTTACACCCGAGCTGGGGGTTGAATCAAATACAGATTTAAATGCTTAAATGATCGGTTGTAGATTCTACTGAGTTACTCTCCCCCTCCCCCACCCTCCAACTGGCCAAAAACCTCAGAGTATAAACTCACAAATTTGCACCCTCCCAGTATCCCTGTTAGTACAGCAATTTTAATCTGATGAATTGAAGTGCAGTCACTTGTTTTACCAAAGTACAATTTGGATTGCAAACATAGTTAACAGTTGAAATACACCACATCAGGCAAGTCAGAAACATATATTAACCACTTTAATAACTAACATTCTACCAAAGTTTTGCAGTCTTCTCATAAATAAAATGAAAAGCGCTATACCAAATGCAAGGATTATTAAATACCTGCTGATGCCATCCTAAATTCCTGGTCCTATTTATGTTACATAATTTCACGCTAACAAAGCATCAGCTGGGAAACACATTAGCTGTATTTAATCAGCAGGACAAGACAAAAACCTGTGTTCAGTCAATAAAAAAGCTGTCCCAAAATACCGCAACTATTAAACGTCTGAATAGAAAACAAAACCGGAGTTGAGAACACAAGTCTCTTTCAACATTGATGTTATCCAACATCCAGCATCATCAAGGTCTTTGCCGCTAGTAACGCTTATACTTTATTTAATTCTGAATCCCAAGGTAAATTGGTCTATCGGAGGTCAAAAGTTAGATAACTATGTCAATATATTGCTGAGTACACTTCAAAGTCTCTAATTGCAAAGAACATTTTCCCTTTCTAAACACTGTGTGTCAAGGTGGTTCCCTGGAGTCAGAAAACGATTAGTAGTTTGTGATCTTCTGCCCTAACCCGTCACCAGGTTTCCCCAAAAGGCAGTTTCAAACTAATTTATTTTTCTAACTAGGTTCAGCAGTCAGAGAATGTAAGGGTTTCCTGATGTCACCTTGGTTGTTTTATATTAAAAGAAAAGATTTAATATTTTTCCACCTTTCTCGCCCAAGGTTTCAAGGACTGTGCAGTAACACTGGAAACCCTTGAGAAATAGGTTTAAGAACTCTCAATTCTCACATAGTCAGGTACCATTTATAAGATCACTTTCTAACACCAATTGAATTTAGGTCTCATTTAGAGGAGATATATTTTTCGAAAAGAAGCAAGCAATTTATCATAGAATCATAGAAATTTAATACACCGAGGGAGACCATTTGTCCCATCGTGCCTGTGCCTGCTCTTTGATGGAGCTACCAACTAGTCCCACTCCCCTGCTCTTACCCCATTGCCCTGCAAATTCTTCTTTTAAGATTCTCTTAGAAACAAAATAAAACGATACAAATGGATTCATAGTCTAGATCTTTTTCTGTGATCTTTATGTACACAAAAAATAATTAACTTGGTGAGTTTAAATTGTTCCACTGCATTACTAAATTTGCTCAAATACTTCAAAGCAAGATAATGTCACTCATTTGCTCCTAGGGCAAAACAAACACCACACAGGATGTGTACTGTACAAATGATAATTAGTCAATTAATAAAAAGGCTCTCCAGAGGTCAAGGTTGGTTAGGCTGCATAACATTTAGCAAAATGCAAAAAATCCTGTTTCTCTACCCTCTTAAGCTGAATTTGACATGACTCAAAATATAAATCGCATATAATACACAGCCCATAAAAAATTCTAGCAAACCTGAAATCTAACAGGCACCAATTCTAAATTTTCAGTTAGCAAATTGGGGTAAACGTAAATATAACGCACACTAAAACCATCATTTGTCAAGGCATTACTCATCTTGAACATTACTCATTTCCCTTGTCTTATGGATAGCTGGAGACTTCCAAAATGATAAGACAGCCAAACCCTCCAGGACCTGAGTTATCATTTCAATTTAAAATGCCATGAGAATTAAGAGCATCGTGCTAATCTATTTCTGTAACCTATTAGCCAAAATCAACTTTAATGTGATGTGCTCAGCAGTTAAATAAATTATGAAGTAGAGTAGGCTATCTGAAACACGCCATGGAGAAAGTAAAGAAAAAAAGGCATTTGAAATGGAAAGTCTAATAAGAGTGCATTTTATATCGTCTGTGGAATAGCACAAACTTTCCAACTCACTCAACGTTTTGAGGAAAGATTTTGCACCGTTTTTCTACAGCAATCCCTTCCCTCCGCCCCCCAAAGGCCATAAATTCAGTGACACTCGGTAATATCCATCTTGATGTCTGCAAGTCAATGAATGCACCCAATTACTCTTTTCGAACTTTGCCAATGAATAATATTAATTGTGTAAAGGTTTCACATTCCTATTCCAATGTTTGTACCTTTCAACATTATGTTGAAGGGCTATTGATCTAAGATGTTTACAGCTCAAATAGTATGCTGTATTCCTCCCAAGTAACCTGATCGTATAAAACACTGAGAAAATGATCTCTGATGAGAGCAGAATATATTTTCATTTAAATATTTAAAAGCTTACCAATATCCATTGCAGTTTCCATGAAACTCTTTTGTCTTGAAGCAAATTCAGCAAGCAGCTTCTGTTGTCTCTCTCTGGCTTTTTGACGTCTGCATGGGGAGGGGAGTAAGGAAGCACAAGGAACCAAATCCTGCCGTTAGTAAAAAGGCATACAAAGAAAAGTTCACCTCTGCATAATTCATACTGAGATTCTGAATGTGCTTTCTTGTGAACTACTGAGCCATGGAAAAACTTATTCCGGAAGTAAAGCAAACTGTCAAGAAACTACCTGTATATAAATGTATGTTGTCACCTTTTAAAAGAATATGCTGACAAAGGGACTTTGAGTAGTCATCCCAACAACAACAACAACAAGATTGCATTCATAGAGCGCCTTTCACGTCGGGAGGACGTCCCAAGGCGCTGGACAATGGGGTCGGGTCCCGAGCAGGGGGGAAATGGTCAGGGTGAGGGGAGGGAAGGGAGGGAGCGAGGAGGGGTAGAGAGTCGAGAGGGGAGCTGAAGGCACGGTCAAAGAGAAAGGTCTTGAGACCGGCCTTGAAGGAGGAAAAGGAGGAAGCAAGGCAAAGACACTGGGGTATGGATTTTCAGAGCCTAGGAGCTGAGAGGCTGAAGGCCCAGGCACCGATGGTAGGGCGGTTGGGGCGGGGGATGTGGAGCAGACCGGAGCCAGAGGAACGGAGGGTACGAGCAGGTAAGTAGGGGGATAGTAGGTCGGAGAGGTAGGAGGGAGCGAGGCCGTGAATGGCCTTGTAGGTGAGGATGAGGATCTTGAAACCTCAAAGGCGCATTGAACTCAGGCTAACAAGATGTTTAGGAATATCCCAGAAAATGTCCAAGGCCTCATTCCATATGTTCCATTAATCTGTTCTGCTAAAAACGGAATTGGGAGGTGCTAATCAGAAACCAACACAATTACTAACAGAACCAAATATTGGTTCACGATTTGTCACCCTCTCATTTTTGTACAGATACAGATTATGGAATAGTTTTGTATCCAGTGAAGGTGGCTGGAGGACCAGCAACTTCAACTGATTGAGTGATCTCAACCGGAACCGGAAGCTAATTTACTTTGAGAGTCAGAGTCACTGTACTATTTGTCGAAATTAACTTACATGGAGTATAACACTGAGGTATGTCCGACCTGAATGTCCTTTCAAAATTCAGTATTCATGAGAGGCATGCAGTTCTTCAGATACATTTTTGAAGGTGTCAGTCATAGGGAAAAAGATCCAAGAGAAGCTTTGCAGAATTGGAGTGCAGATACTGAAATCAACTACAGTGCAGTAAATCCTCCTCCTCATGGCCATCACAAATAAACTGTGATTGAAGATCAGTTTACAGACTACTGCCAAAATAATCTAACTCCACTCAGCGCAATTTCACCAAATAAAAATGTTTTGCTGTGTGGAATGGCGAGTTTAAGCGTGTGGGTGAGAAAGACCAAGTTTGGGTCTGTATACTACCAATGACTCTTGAAAGGGACATAATTTTAAGTGCACTCCCGTAACTTTAAGGTTGACTTTTGAAACCAATCCACTGCCCATTTAACACTTTTGGTTGGAATAGCAATCCTTTTGGGGCAATAAGGAGATGAAATATGATGTTCAATAAAACTGAATACAAGAGACAAGTACAGAGAATGGGTGCTTGAAAACATGAAAAGGTTAAAAAGGCAGCTGAATCATTTCTTTNAAAAAATAAAATATTTGGGAGGAAAGATCCAGAAAGACTAAATTAAATTGCCTTCAAGCCCTTTTAGTGTTCCCTGCCTAAAGATTTCCCTGCAGCCTTAAATAAACCTGGTCTGATTGTAAATAGAGAGCCCTAACAAGAAGACATAAACAAACTCTGACAGATCCCATCCAGCTCAGTAATTTTTTCCTGACAGCTTAAGGGGTAGACAGAGTAAGGCTGAAAAATATCAGCAGCAATTTGGCTTCTTCTTTAGTACAGCGACTGTTTCTATGGCAACGACTTATCTTGTGAGAGATGCCACCTTTGTCTTTGTCTGCAGGTCAGGGCAACAAAAAATGGGTCATCATCACCAGCTTATTGCCCATTCCATCTTCATTACCACCAAATCTAACTTGAAACCCCAAAATGAATTGAAGTTCGCTTATTTCAGCCACGCAGTATTACTTGATTGAATTAATCTTAATCTTAGCCTGTCAGTTTCTCTTGCTATCGGCGAATGCGTTTGCTGATATCAGAACATAGTAATGTTGGAACGTACAGATATTTGCAGCAAAAAACAAAATCAGTTTTCAGTAACTGCAGGAATAGTCACATATCTTACAGAGATTTTATCCAAATACTTATTTTCATAACCTTCGTTTCTGCATTTCTGCATATGAAACTGTGCACATAGTAGCACTGCAACAGCTGTAAGTTTGCTTGGAAATCGTAAGTAGTCTAAAAAATGAAATTCATCTCAAATTTGAAAGATAGCACTGCAAATATCTAAATAACTATGTATTTGGTAAACTATTCCTCGAGTAATTTGTCTTATTATTTGATATTAAGTACATAATAATTTGCTCCCAAACAAGTTATCCCTCATGTACAGACATCTGATGAAGCGATGTTCCTGGAACGCTACCTTTGGAGATACTAATGATAACTTACATTTTATGCAAAGTGAAGAGAAACACTTAGTTCTCATTTTAATCCGATACTTTAAACTTGAAACAGGTACGAGCTTCTATAGTTTCTTTGTGACCTTACACAGAATGTACTGTATGCAGAAACAGCCATTTTGGACTAAAAAACTAACAATACTTATTCTTCGGGCAACAAAGAAATAAGCAGTAAATAGGATTTTTTAAAAATAAATAAAAGCACAAAATTCTCCTTTGCCCCAGTCCCAGCTACATCACAACACATTGAAGTAACTTAATTAAGTCCTAGGCGATGTAAGATATTTACAAATTAATGACAGGTTTGATATATTGATGTATCATTGTGGATTTTGCATTCCATTGCATGAATTGCCTTTTAGCAGTTAGAAATGTTTAACTACAAAGTTAACCGCAGGTTTCAAAACAAAAAAAAACTTGTAGTTGCAATTTCCAAAATGCACTGCGCATTTTTAAGAGGGAAATGCAATTAAGTTATAGTTTAGCATGTTTTCATTTGCTTATTGACAATATGTTCAGTTTTTAATTTCATCGGCTCATACTTCGGCCAAACCATTTACCTTTCTTCTTTGTCTAAAGCTTTCTTATCTGATGAGTTGCTCTTCTTAGGAGGTACAGGTGGTGTCACCTTCTGACAAATCTCTTCAATGCTGCTCTGGTTCTGACGACTCCGTTCTGCAGCTTTAGCTAAAATCCTTTCTACAGCTGTGATGCCATCGCCGTGAATCTGTTTCATCGAGTCTAGCCTAGGTGCAGAGTCTGAATCTTCTAACCAGTATGAGTAGTAAGAGTTTTGTTTCCCTGAGAGTTTATGATGAAGTTTGATTAGAAGAGATAGCATGCTTTCTCGGATTTCCAGAATGGTTGTCGTAAGTTGTGGCGTTGAACTAGGAGCTGTCCATTTTGATGTCTTTGGTCTAACATCTGTAGGCTGACCAGCATTGCCACTGTTGCTGTTTATCATCTCCTGAAACTTCCGTCTACGTTCTGCGACTAAGCTAAAGACCTGAGCTGCGTTTGAATTCTGAAACAGAAAAATTGAAACACGATTCAAAATTGTTCCCATTAGATTTGAAAAGTAAAATAAATAGGAACTATGGGTCACAGCTAATGGAAAACAATTATGCACGTTCTGAATTTTTATAAAATACACTTTTCAAATGCGTTAAAGCATTACTTAAGGAATAAGTTTGGATTTCACAGAAAAAATCAAGACAGGATTTCAAGCTGTATAAATCACAACATAGAGGGTTACAGCTGTACTAGCAAATAATTGTATCTTCAAGGCATCGTTGGAATTAAGTAAAACAACTTTAAATAGTGCTCTCATTGTGTCACCTGTGAGGCTAATTTAATAAGTGAAATTTTAGGCATGAATGAAGGCCATGCTGGCAGGCAGATTATTCAAAGCAAGACAATTAAAAGTACCTCTCGGCTGAAGGCAGAGGACCTTCTTGAACCCTACCATGGAGAGAAAAACACAGAATAGTAGAATAAAAAGGTATAATAACACATGCACTTCTAACACCTTATGTTGGTCTGCAGATGGTTTAATGGTTTGCCGTTTCAGAAGCTGTGGAATATTTTGTCTAAGCAAACAAAACCTGCAGCAACATCCCACAAACAATACTAGAAATTAAAATTGAGAAGGAAGAACAATTTCCTTGTGCTCACAAACCATTTTTCCATCAAGTTTACTTGTTTAAGATATTTGATATTTCATTAGAACTTTTTAGTTTTAATGAAGTTGGAGCAGGGAATAGGATACATGAATCCCCTTCTCAATAGCAGTAAAGTCAAGAAAGGCAAAGAAAAAGTGGATGGATATAAGGAAACAAAAAGAGAAATGTTAAGCAAATAAGAAAAATGCAGAACACATGCAAAAGAATCATAAGACAAAATATAAGTCTTTTAAAACAAGAGTTTACTGAAAACAATATAATCTACTTTGCCTAGAATACTAGAAACATTTATTATCTGAAATGCATATAGTATTTTGACTAAATAATCCTTCCACTGATCAAATTTGTGTGTCAGCCTAGCTTGTGTGTCATAGGAACGTAGAAACAGGAGTAGGCCATTCAAACCCTCAAGCCTGTTCCGCCATTCTATTAGATCATGGCTGATCTATATCTCAGCTCCATTTCCCTGCCTTTTCTCTATATCCCTTGATATCCTTACTTAACAAATATTGATTGATCTCCGTCTTGAAAGTTCTGATTAACCAAGCATCCACAGCCTTTTGAGGGAGAGAATTCCCGATTTCCTCAATCATTCATGTGAAAAAATGCTTCCTGGTTTTACTCCTAACTGGCATGGCTCAGTAGTAGCACTCTCACCTCCAAGTCAGAAGGTTATGGGTTCAAGCCCCAAGTCAGGGCTTGAACTCACAAGCTGACACTCCAATGCAATGCTGGGGATGCTTTACAATGTCAGGATTAACGACCTACGGATGAAACATTAAATCAAGGTCCCGTCTGCCTGTTCAGGTGGACGTTAAAGAACCCATGGCGCTGTTTGAAACGAAATGGGAGTATCGCTTGGTGCCTTAGCCAAAAATCCCCCAAACAAAGTTGGTCGTTCATTTCATGGCTCTTTGCGTACAATTGGGCTGCCACGTTCACCTAAATACCCAGTCGCTCCACTTTACAGTAAATGCTGTGAAGTACTTTGGAACGTCCTGCTGACGTGAAAGGTACTGCAGTATACCAAATGGATGATTATCATTATTATTAAATAAAGAAAACAAACTCATTAACTGCGGAGCTTCCAAAGGTACGTTTAAGGAATGCTGTAAGGAACTTCTAATCCTGAAGCCCTCCTTTCCAATGCAAAGTACGACTGATTCACTTTCTAGCAAAGTCCAAACTGCAACATATCAATCTAAACCGGTTCAATATTCTAACACTGAAAGAGAAATAATACAAGTGAGAAAAATGTGACAATATTCTAGGCATAAAAATATTTCATTCTAAAGGTTTACCACCACTGGTCACTACCCATTATTTAATCATAACCAATTGAACAGTTGAAAATAGATCAGCTGAAAGGCAGCTTCCATTTACAACAACAACAAAATTAAATTTATAAAGTGCCCTTCACATCGGGAGGACATCCCAAAGCGCTGGACAGTCAGGGGTCAGGTCCCAAGCATGGGGGCGGGGTGGGGGAGGGAAGAGAGAGAGGTGGGAGGGCGACCAAAGGCACGATTGAAGAGGAGGCAAAGGAGGAAGCGAGGCTAAGGGACTGTGGAGTGGAGGTCCAGAGTGTGGGGGCAGAGAGGCTGAAAGCCTGGCCACCGATGGTAGGGTGGGTCGGACGGGAGACATGGAGCAGCCCGCTGGGCAGGTTGGTAGTGAGTCAGCAGGTCAGAGAGGTAGGAGGGGGGGGGAAGGCCATGGATGGTCTTGAAAGTGAGGACGAGGATCTTGAATTTACCCCAGTACATTCCATCCTTAATTAAATGGTTATCATAAATATAACCACCGTTTTAGATGCTGTGTGAAACCAACAGCTCAGTGGTTTGAAAAAGATTACAAAATTATAAAACAGATTTCAGTATTGGAACTGAAAACAAATCATGGTAGGAGTAAAAGAAAGAAATCGACGTCTGTGCTCTCGTCAACTTGAGGTAGAAGGCACACTGATGGATTTCTGCTTCGATCCAATCTATCAATCACGTCGGTTTGCTAAGACACATGTCCACCACTACTTCAGTGTTTCAATACTACTAATTTAAAAAACCCTTCCTTTTGTCTTGTAGACTTCAGCTGAAGTGAAATGCAGCCGAAAAACAGATAAGGCACATACACAATAGTCGCTTTCTGCCCTCAGGAAATCATTCAAGGCAATTCATCACCCTGAGAACAGAATGAGCACATAATTGCCAAAGAAGCACCTCGTACAGAACTACTTGTCTAACATGGGAGTACATTAGTTCCTTAAACGTATCAACCTCTAAAGTAAGCACAGTGAATTTATTTTGTGGGTTACCTACACAGAAACCAATTAGGAGCTGTGTGAAATTTGCACAGATAATCTAAACTGCAGAATACAATATTATGAAGACAACCTGAACTCACTTATTTTTGAACGGCAGCTGGAGACGGCAATTTTAATTGCACTTAAATACACTAACCTGCACAGATGTAGAGGTGTCTGAGCTGGTGCTGGCAGGTGGCTCTTTGGTGACTTCAGGGGCAGTCTCTGGAACTCGGACTCGAACATAGTTAATAACATGATGAAGATTTGTCACTATGTTGGTTCCATTGAACCAACTATCACTGCATTGTTCTTCAAGCGTTTCCTATAAGCAGGAGAAATGGTTTTAAGATTCAGTAAATGGACCACAACCAAAATACAAAATTTATAAACATTCCATCTGTCCCAGTCATTATCAGAGTAACATTCTTGCACAATAAAAATAAAGATAATAACTTTTCAATTTCTAATAACAGTCAAATTCTATACCAAAGTATCAAGCAGCTTTGCAGCTTTAAAACAATATGAATTTGTCTTTTTTTCTTAAATTGTGATCAGTGAAATGGCTCCACTGTGCAAGGATAAGTGTTTTGTCCTCTTTGGTTCAGTCTCTTTCAAGCTCAAAACACCTGCTCTGTTCCCTAAAGGCAGCACAGAGTGTTGATCTATCAAACAAGCAGCTAAAGCCAACTGTTAGCACCCTCAAGCAAAGCAGTCTGCTGCTACCAATCATATAACAAAACTGCAGTACAGGATATCGAGCAGTACTTCATATCAAGTTTAAGTTTTATTTTCAATTATTTCTGATGTTACACATTTTACCAAATACATTATAGAACTATTTCTCAACAACAATTTAGTCCTCTTGTATGTCAAGCTTTGTCATAAACAAAAATAATAACCACTTTGGTATCTGCATTTAGCATCACTTTTCAAGTGAATAAAAGCCATTTAGTTATGGAAGCACATTGCACAGCACGCTCGATCACCAAAATAGAGGCAGGGTTGGGAGCAGACTGGATTTTGTCTTTGATCCGCACTCATTATTAGGGACCTCAGCTGTACAGCAGCAAAAGTGCTCTCATTGAGAACAAAGTAAGCAAAATGAAACAATATTTACCTAGGCCATTCTAAAGTACCTCCAAATGGGGGTTTTCAGAACAGCATTGCTGACGTCTGCAAAATTGGTTACTAAGTGTGTCAGGGAATATGTGGTAACCAGTTGGAGCAGAAAATATAATAAAATTTCAAACCAAGAATTAGCCCTGTTCTTTCCAAAATAAAATGTTACGCTTTTAATATAAATTGACTGTACTTGAGAGTAAAATTACTAAAGCATTGTCTTGAACATTACAAAAGAGATTTTTTTTATATAACCTTGGAACCACATTCTCGAATTTAGTAACAGAAAACTTCAGGCAATAATTTGTTGTATTTCCTTTCGTGAAGAAGGGTTTGATAGGCTATGCAATGGAGAAATTGAATTTGCTTCAGGTCTTGTATTTTAATATGGTCCCTCATGAAGCCACCTGCTTATTTTGTCCAGCAATTTGTACCAACCTCATTAACTGGTTCTTCCAAAACATTGTCCAGACCGAGCTCAATCAGGTACAACACCATACACAGGATATGTTCAGACATATTCTGGTGATCCATGGAGATCTTAAAAAAAAACAACACTATTCTGAAATATTCTCCCAATTCAAATATACAAGCAATAACAGCAGATAAAATGAGTTCAACATTTCATTTGTTAAAACTATCAAACTATCCCAATCTCACTGAAAGGTTATTACCTATCAATCGCAAGTGAAGATGTTTTGCCCCAGCAACGACAACACTAAATTTAGCTTGAATTTATTTAAATATAAACTTGATAGCTTTGATGTACTATTTTATAAATATTATTTTGCAGATATCTGCGTATGTGTGTTACCTTATAAAGAAGAGTGAACAGGACGATGTGTAAAGTTTTACAGTGCAAGAGTCGCATAAGACCTTTGTAGTTGGGATTTAGAGAAGTTCTCTCCCGATACGGTGGCCACGGGTTTCCAGAGAACTTTCCAGTCTGCTTCAGGCTGTCAAACAATAGAGCAGAAAATTAAAGCACTCGATAGGAGTAAATAGAAAAGAGCAACTTTTTGTTCATTAAATTACGAATTATTCATAGACGAGAAAGCAGAAAAAAGGGAAGTTAATTTCTTTCTCCAAATGTTATCACTAATAAGTAACAGAATACCTCAGTTAACATCCGAGCAATTGGCCAATCGAAGGAAATGTGAAGGACATGGTTGCGGAATTGCTTTTTCGTGTGCCTTGAACTATCCTTTTGCCTCAGGGAAGAAAATCGGTTGTTCAATTTGCAATTAAATTGTGCCAGTGTAAAAGCTAAGTAATATTTAGTCAAACTGGCAGGCTGTAGATCAAAAATTTTAACAGACTCAGTCAGTTTTTGTAAACCAAAATACTGGAGATATTTACTGGCAGAAACACTCCCTTGTTATTACCTTTTACAGAGTGTGGACTTTCCTGTTTAAGGTCAAATAAACTTGAGGGGTTTAGCTTTGAAAAGGTTATGATATCTGGCATTCGGGCAAAAGGAAACTCGAGCAAAAGTACTCTGAATCGACTAAAGCATTTTTTTTTTGCACGTGGGTTTTGAAAGAATTACTTTGAACTCTCCTGTTTAATTCAGGTTTAAAATTGAGAAAACCTTGGGAGGGGGATGCTTCAGCCTAAAGGTAAATATGCTGATAAAACTACAGAAACCTTGAAAGTAGAGAATTGTTACTCCATTTAATTTGTAAAAAAACTCAAAGATTATCAGCAGTGGCTCCCATTTTCACACCATTTACAATACCACAACACAAGCATTACCAAAAAACATTTCCAATTAACCAGACTAGCTCTTTTCAACAAGGGAAACCTTCAGTGATATATTACACAACGAAATTACACTTTGCCAAAATCATGTCAAAAAACTTGAATCATTGTTGGAAATATTGAGGAAAGAGTAGGGGAAAAAATTCCAAATGGTAAAGATTCGACTTTCAAACTAATGACCACAAACTATTTGGTTTGGTCCTCGTCTGCATCCTCATCCCATCGCTGAACAGGATTAGGAAAGGATTGGGAATGCTTTCTTCTGCACCCATCGTTATCCTCCCTCCTTCAGTCCCACATTCAGAACGCTGATGAAGATGGCACAGCTTACATCTTATAACTCTAAAAGTATACACAATATCTCGATGCATCTCACTCTGAATAATACAGTGCATTTATCAGATTCAAGCATTAAAAGTTAACCCCTAATTTTGATGCAGGTTTGTGTTATATAATTTTTAAAACTGTAAGTAAGCCAGTCTTTAAAAAACAGAAACAAACACACAGGTTCAAACAGAAAAGCTAAACAGGATCTTTGGTGGTGAGGGGGAGAGAGAGTCACCCAAACAATCCACATGTTTGATGCTTCAACTGACTATATTTCAAACAAATATTGAGCTTGCTTGAACTTTTAAAAAAAACAAGTACTTACAATTCCATGTATCTATCCATGGCAGACTGAACATCTCTACGATACACTGTTCGATGAATCACCATAATTGGATCAAATTCTTGATTCCAGACATCAGCTGGCAAAGAAAAAGGAGGAAAGAAAATCAGTACAGATCTGCTAACTTAATAAAAAGCATCCAGAGAAGAAAATACACTTTGAATTGTATTCATCTCATCAGTGTTGAAGATAGTTCATTAAACCTACCAATTTTAAGTCAAACAGTCAAACAAATATATGTTATGCAGGCTGCAGTCAATTGAAACAACAACAACAACAAGATTCCATTTATTGATCGCCTTTCACGTCGGGAGGACGTCCCAAGGCGCTGTACAGTTGGGACAGGACCCGAGCAGTGGGGGAAATGGTGAGGGGAGGGAAGGGAGGGAGCGAGGAGGGGGTAGAGAGTTGAGAGGGGAACTGAAGGCACGGTCAAAGAGAAAGGTCTTGAGACCGGCGTTGAAGGAGGAAAGGGAGGAAGCGGCGAAGGCACTGGGGATAGAGTTCCAGAGCCTCGGGGCTGAGAGGCTGAAGGCCCGGTCACCGATGGTAGGGCGGTTGGGGCGGGGGATGTGGAGCAGACCGGAGCCAGAGGAACGGAGGGTACGGGCAGGTAACAATAACAAGGACAACTGTATCATTAGTTTGACCTTGACAGTTCAGAGTTTTGACAGACTTGGAGAAATTGTGCTGCGATATTAATGGACAAGATGGAAACTTCCACATAGCCTAATATACGTTCCAATAAATTTAGATGAACAAGTCATGGTGAATTGTGCATTTTAATTTCTGTATTTGGGGACATGGTTCAACATGATAAACCTGTCTTGGAAGAGAAGAGAGTTAGAAGGTGAAATTCAACAATCTAATTCAATGACAACTCTTTATTTTATTTATTTGATTTGATTTTTATTTGCGATAAAAGAGTTAAAGCAGCTGTAATTGCTGTTTCTTGCATGAATAATGAATAAACCAAAAGTATTATTAACAAAGGTACATCATGCATTTGTGAGATAGCAACGTATCCCCAATAAAGAATATTGAATTGTTGAAATGAAGCCATTTAAACAATTGGTATTCCAAGGAATCACGTATGTTTCCTTAAATTAACTTTTCTATTAAACAGAGCTTCATCACTGCTAATTTTAGTACAAAGGTTACAAAGGTAGTCTTTATCTATTCCAACACATTATAATCTCAACATTACAACACAGCGCTCTCCAGCAGTGCAGAGAGAACGTTTCATTTCCTCCACCCTCCCCTACACACAAACAAACACACCAAAATTAACCTCGACATTACCTTTGCTTTCAGTTCTGAGAGAATGGAGTTTTAACAAATAAATCCCTCAAAAAACAAAGCAATCTAAAAATAATTTATGCAAAATGTAAAAGTGTTTCATGTTTGATGGCTCAACAAGATTTATTTTCTACAGATAATCTCTTAAATATACATTTAACAGAAGCAGATTGTATTCAAAGAAATCCTGGTATATGTATTATTATAAAAGCATCCCAGAGTTTGCATTCATAAGGGTGACTGGCCTCATCAATACAAATGGTAGGCTTGCAACAACTGATTACTTGATTCCCCTTCCCCATCTGACTCCCAGAGAATCAAGTTCGAGATCCTGACCCTTTTAAATCCCTCCACTGTATTGCCCCCGCCTACTTCTGTCTCCTTCTAAAATATAGCAATTATTTAACAGCAAGGTTTATTTAATAGCCTTCCCTACTGGATTTAAACTCGTTATATACTTTTGACTGATTACAAAAATAAGCATAACATCGTATAACAGTAGGTAGTAGACGATTTGTTTTTTTAAAAAATGGTTATGGTCTTTCACTGAAGCATCATATAGGAATCTGAAAGCACAATACTGCCACCTGGAGTTTATGTGGTGGAAATAGTACTTCAGGGGGGAAAAAAAATGAGGAATAACTCAAAACATTTTCAGAAATATACAAATACAAGATTATATTCGTAAAACCCCTTTCACGTCGGGAGGACGTTCCAAATATTAGGTTTTGCTGCAAGCCATGTGAACAAAAAAAGTGCAAATTTAAACACCTGCAAAATTAACACAACAACTAAAATACATACCTTTAGGGGTATACATTCCCTGCTGCATGGAACCTCCAGGTTCAAAGACTGGTGCCTTAAAATCAGCCACAGCAGAAAGCATTGCTTCAAAGTAATAACTCCCTGGGATAATCCCACTCTTGGGGTTGGGGTTTTCAGGAATGTATTTTTTTTGATTAAGGAAACAATATAGATGGACAGGTATACTTTGAGATACCAAAATGTTTCAACTTATCAATTAAAATTCACTTTCAGATTTTAAAGCACACATTAACATTTGTCAACTGAAATATTTCCAGGTTTCACGGCTGACTTCACCAAAAAAGATTTTATACATGTACCTACACATTAGACTTCAGACATACTGTACTAAAGAGATAATGTTCTTGATTTGAGTAAGTAGAAGTAAATTCGGAAGGGCATGCACCCTCCCATATAAGAGGGTTCGGCCCTCCATTTTCACCCCTTATCTGCCATCTCCTATGAGTGGATGCTTGTTACAATACTTAATCAAACAGCCTGAAACCATATACCAGATTCTGAACTATCCAAAAGGATATGAGATCTAATAATGTACTGTGTGTTCTGTCATTCATGCAGAGCTGTGCAACCATTTCCGCCCTCAGGATCTCATCATCTGTCATTCCTGAAATAAAAATGAATAATAAATTAGCACTGATAAGGTCTCCAGATGAATCTAACTAATAGTCATTTGACAGAAAATTCATCATCATACAGTATTACAGTAAGCAGCAGTTCAGAAAATAGGTTATTCTAATTTAATACAAATATTTAAGTACAGTGCTATGAAATTTGTCATTCTAATTTACTGAAGAATTTGGCATTTGCACACACAAGTAATGAATGGAAATATATTTCATCAAGACTTTTAAAAAGGTGCTCATAAAGATTCGAGCATCAAACTTTTAAACCATTAGTTCACACTGCTTCACATCTCAATAGTTTCTGAAGATATAGACTCCCACAAAACCATAAAAATAGGGTAAACAGAGTGTATGGTGCCATGTAAATCACAAATCCAACGGTTATTTATCAAAATTGCAGTACCGTCTTAAACAGTTTATTAATGCCTGCTATAGAAGTTCTTTTCTTGTACAGAAATATAAATCAGTTTTAAGAGCTACTCATTTTAACACTCTTTATTATGCCACCGCATGGTAAATCAACCACTGAGCCAACAGAGAACCCTACAGAGTGCTTTTATATAAGCAGTGCAACTTCATCTGTCAAATTAAAATTGGCATAGAATCGGATGCCACTGATCAGATGCTAAACAAATTCAATATTTATATATATTCACCTCAGGAGAATCTAACTGTAATTTTGAACAGTACAGTGAACTAAGAAGGTGATTTAAAACACAAACTGCAGCTATGTGAACCAATCAAGGAGCAAGGAAAAGAAAAAGTGCAGAAAGGAACTAAAATGGGAAACGGTATAAAATAATCAAATACAACTTACCTAAATGGATGCGTAGGCTCATCAAAATAACTAGAAATGTGAGAGCTCCTTCAAGCATAGGTCTTTCATTTTCTGCATCAAGAATTGTATTCTGATGCTGTGATGCCATCGTCAGTAGATCAACCACTTTAAATCTAGCAAAGTCCATGAATTTGCATAAATATACAAGCAGTTACTGTCATAAGATAATACCCTCAAGAACAATGACCCGGTATTTCATTTACATAAAATACTTATACTGTTTACTTTTTAATATGTCATTAGTTTTTCTTGTGCAGTTTCAAATATATAAACTAGTCACCGACTTTATTGTACAACGATACAAATGTGTCACTGAATTACATACTCAATTTAAACTAGAAGTGATAGAAAGTTTAGACTACAGAACATTAGCTGTGTATTTGCTGTGTTACACACTTGAAATAATGAAAGAATGGATACCCAAGAATGGTTAAGAAAATCTAATTTTACAGTTCAGATGAACTAATATCTATGAAGGACTAAGTGATCCACTGTTCTTGAAACACAGTCCTTTTCATCTGTGGACAAGGATTTGAATCCAAATCCAAATATGGGATAAAAGATAGAAAATGCAATTTTGTTTAATTGCTTGCTCACCTTTCAAAAACAGATGAAATGAAATAATCTGGATCTAATCTTGAAGCACAAACCTAGAGGGAGAGAAAAAAAAAATCTGAATACAACTTAATTTCTCCTTAACAATACTATCAATATCATGAAACAACTTCTAAACAGTTGGGCAGGGGCAACAGATTCAGGAATTGATGTTGTTCTAAACATGGCAATTAAACATTCTACAACTAAAGCTACTTTTTGAACTTGTAATGTCAAATTATGAACATACCTGCAGCAGGTAAATATCTGGGTCAATCATGGAGTTGCAAAAGTGGGACTGCACATAGGTCATAGCTTGCCCTTTAATCTGTAGTCCATTTCGGACCCACATGTTACTGTGTATCTCTGACAGACATGCCTGAAACAAATAGCCATTTAGTTCTGAATATGGGTATTTCATTTGAGATAAAAATACAACATTAGATAACAAGTATTGAAAAATGTCCACTTTTTCTGCAAAAGATGACCCATGTTGATGACAACAAACCTCAACTTGCAAGGGAAACAAAAGTCTGGACAGTATAAGAGCAAATTTAAAATCAAGGGAAAAAAATAACCTGAATTTGTAGTGGATGAACCATAAGTTTCATGAGCATCTCTTGATCTGGTAACAGTGCATCTAGATCCAGTTGCTGGCATTGAATTGCCTGTGAAGTGAACAACATAACCAATGTATTGGCAACAGAAACTTCAAATGTATCCCATTTGCATTTTAAGTTCACATTACAGCTATCAATGCTGGCTTCACAGTGTAAATCAAGAAATTTGCACCTAATATTTTTCACCCCCAAAGTACCTACTCCAAACCCAAACAAACAAATTAGAATTTGAATACTGAACTAAACATTTGAAAATATGATTTATATAAATGACACTCCCAAGTCCAGATAAGGCAGCCAGGCACATTGAGACAGTNAAAAAAATACTGTTTGTCCGAAGAAACTGGCCAATCTGGAAAGACCCAGTAGGTCAATGATGGAGGAGATTGCAAAGTGGCCCAATTGAAGCTTCCAATTTATAAAGAGTACTGATGCAAGTTCAGCCTTGCACCAAGGCATTCCAAGAACATGGGGCACATGGTACATTTAAAATTAAACAGGGAATCCAGACAGAATTACATCAGACAGCAGAAAATAATATCGATTTATTCATCAATCATCGTTACTAAAAAAAAGTTTAATTTAATGCACAAATCAGATACAATAGGTGATCTTACCTTGCTCAGAAACATAGCATAGTAACGATGGAGAGGCAAATGAAACGTAACCTGGTTAGGAGTTGGCTAGATAAAAACAACAGAAACCAATTTAAAGTTTACAGATGCCACTAGAACAACAACTTGCACTTATATAGTGCCCTTATGTAGCAGGCAGCATATCAGAGCACTTAAACTATACATTATAACACAATAGTGTCAAGCTTTCTTTCATACTTAAATTAAAATGACACTATGTCACAAACTATCAACCAAATAGATTACTGAATAGTGACAACTAACAGGATATTTACATAACTTCATGCAGGACACACCTGGCTTTATCCAAACTACTTGTATTCTTCATCAGTGTGCATTTTGTACCTAACTTGGCAAGTATTTGGACAAGCTGAATCCAGAACATTAATAAGATTGCCTTTTGGGCAGAGCTCTGCCGTTGAGAAGAAAAGAGCACCTGGCTGCAACTGCACAACCAGGAGAACAAAAACAATGGCAAATTGTTCCAAGCCCTAGAAATGTTTATTGATGGGATCAACAGTGTTATTAACTGAGAGGTTTCCTGGTGGATTTAGTGGCACAGAAAGGCAGACTGCCCGGAACTGGAGAATCGTAGGTAACTTAGCACAAGTTCTCCAAGGTAGATACTTTTTTTAGTTTAACAGAGGCAAGTGAATAACATCAAAGTACCCCTCCACATTATCTTCCCATTGATCTAAGCTAATTTCCCATCAACAGATCCACTTCCCATTCCAACAACTGACTTTTATAAAGTACTTCATTATTCCATCAATACCTCATCAATAAAATTGATAGCATCAAACCAATCCTGTAGCGCATCCAGGCAATACCTGGCTACTGTTCTGGTGTACTCTTGTGTCTCCTGCAAAACATACACGAAAAACACAAGAAGAATTTTAAATGAAACCTTACAAACACTGACTAAATAGCATTTAACTGTATCAAAGTTACTTGCCAGAAATCCAAGAATTTTGCACCACTTTTATTTCATAAGCTGAATTTTTCCAGCCTTACTTAGCATGTAATCCGCTCAGTAAAAGGAATCGACGAGCGAGGCTGATTTGCGTAACTAACTTCTCCACATCTATTGTTAACACCACAAAAACTAGCGACCAAACCCAGAGCCAAACAATGTCAGTTTTTACACAACAGTACTGGTGCTAAAATGCTACAGTTGACGCTCTACATCTACTCAGTTATTAAAGTTAATAATACACATTTGTTAAATTTACTCAATTATCTTTAACTTTACTGATTTACAATATCGTCTTGTGTCCGATACCGCATAGTTTCAAACGTCTTACTTTTATGGCATATGAAAGTCCTTACCCTAACTTTGCAGTGTGTTAACAGTCCCCACATCGGTTGCGCGCAGGCTTCCAATTCGGCTGCAAACGCCGCATAATAGGTTTGTGACTCAAATTCCACATGCTCGTTTAATTCTCGCTTGTTTAAATTCATGCCTAGAAAAAGAAGTATAAAGTAAGATTTCATCAAATGGATCAGTCACCTCAAAAGAAGTCTAAACGTAAAAAAAATGGCATTGTTAAATTGGGAGTCCTGGATTTTCAGGGTTCTTTGTTTTCGGTCAGTAACAGCATAAAGATTCTATGTACTAACTGGACATAAAACATTGATGTTCGAAGAAATTGGAGACATGATTTTCTATGTCTCCAAATGCTAAGGAGAAATTTACCTTGAAAGAAGGAAACAAAATTCATCCACATCTGTAGAAGGCCCTGATCCTCCAGGAAACGCTTTGCTACACTTTTGTGTGAGAGGATATTTATGAAATCACTAACTAACGGCCAGTATGTGTTGTTCTTTAAAAGGGGTTCACCACAGTTGACAACAACATGGAAATTGTTTTCTTCATCTAAACAGTGAGAAAGATACAACATTTAGACAGATTCACAGGTCAAAGTTACTACAGAAACTTGCAAGTTTTTTTTCTGAAACAGACATCTTTAAGACACCCTTGTATACAAAGAGATGGAAAACATTTTGCAGCATTTGGTACATTTTCCCAGGTAGAACGTTCGAGAAGTAAGCCATGGACAACATTTAATTATTACACAATACGAGACAAAGACATACTAGTTTCGAAACAATTTATTTCCTGACAATAAGGCAGAATATTTTGCTTAGCTTAAAAGCTGCCACGTAAAGGGATAAAAAATACATCCTTTAAATCAAATTTCGGCTTACCTTGCAACTCACTTTTGATAAGGCAACTTTCCATCATGTAAAGTAATACAGTGACCATTATTTCCAGTAGATGGCATTCTTCCGTCACTTGACGTGCCAACTCTTCATTACTGAATAACTGAACACTGATGTGAACAATCCGATTAGACATGGTGTCGGATTCATGGCTCTTAATCAAAGTTTTCATAATAAAAGCATAGTGCTGAACAAATGTTTCAGTAAAAGCAACCTGCAGAAAGCACAATAATAACATTTCAGAAATCTAAAACATATTGCAAGAAAGGGAAGCTTCTCACTAGAAATAGAAACGGTTGTTAACTCATGTTCTTTCGTCGATAAATACTTACATGCAGCTCAACACCAAGTCATGTGTGACAAAGCCCCCACTCAGTCACTAATCTACACTGAATTCGCCCATCTCAACCATGTCAGCAGTGAGAACAGTTGACCATCTTCTGCTTCCCATGGTTGGGGAAGGGGCAAGTGGATACGGGGGAAAAAAGAGTTAATCCAGTGTTTCCACTCCCATTTGCTATTCAATGTTCACTTGCTGGAAAGTGCATGAGTGTATGTAAATGTCAGGATCTATTTCAGATGTGTCTCTCACTAGTTGATCGGGCTGCCAACGCTCAATGTCTATGCACATTGCACAAAGAATGGCCATTTTGAACAAAGTACCAGAGAGCAGTATTACCTACATGACCACTCATGTAATTATAATTTTAACACAGTTATCACCTTTATAAATAATAAATAATACTTGCAGTTGATATAGCACATATAATATCAATAATGTCTCAAAGGGTTTCACAAAGTTTCTGTCAAGTGTTGACTATGACCATGCATTTTGTAGAGGAGAATTAAAATAAAACAAGAAACTAGGTTTAACGAACGTTCAAAAGATTGCTATATTCACAGTGTGCTACGTGTTATATCAATACCTTGTAGTCTTGATCAGGCAGCATATTCAGTAGAAAGGTTACCATTTTCTGTGGAAACTCGTATTTTACAGTCCAAAATAACAACTCTTCTAGAAAGCATTTATGTTTTAAAACATCCATGATGGATGGATCTGAAATAGGTAAAAACACAGAAGATGAGAAGGTAAAATACTGAATTTATAAAAAGTGAAATTAGACCATAAAAAGGAATTATGCTTTCAATGTTGGTGATATCAGTATTACAGTAAACCTCACATCAATTGTTTCAGTTGGGATAATACACTTAATATGACTTAAGCAAAGTATGAGTTATGTCAAAAATGCAAAGAATATAAACACCTGAACAGGAACTTGAGATTAATGATTAAGCTTTCAATATAGCAGAAGCCTGTTATAAGGAGGCAATTGGAGGGGGGGTCGATAAAATTCGACCACCATAAAAGGGATAAAGAGTGGTCCTCAGTGTCATCTTGACATCCATTAACACTTCATCGATGACATTATTACAAATTATTTTACAAGCAGAAGCAATTAAAATGAATTAATCTTCCTAAGCATTTTTTTTTAAAAACAGACTACCTTTGGCGCTGTTACAGAGTTTTACCCTCTTCCGTTTGCCAACACCTTGACTGCCATCCTGATCCTCCTGAAGACAAAAAAGGGAATATTCGTTATGCAAAATTAACCAGCTCATCTGTTTTTCCTACCAAGTTTAGCTTCCCCTCCTCCTCCTCTAAACCAGCATTCATTTGGTCACAAGGCGTGCATTTTCAGAACAGAGAGGAACATTTGCTTACATAAAAAGACACGTTTGTGTTGAGCATGCAAAAGAACTGTGTTGTAACACCATGCTGCATCTCAGCAGATAAAAATCACAATTTTTCAGTCACTACATCTTACATAACCTTCATCGGCAGAAAGTACTACTCAATGTCATTATAATTTTCTAAGATATTACAACCGTTTTGTTTCGGTTTATACCTGGCTAAATGGAACACTTTAGATGCCAATCAAATAAAACAAATGCATGAATAGATAATAGGAAAAGTCTGAGTTTTTAAGAGACCAATGATGCGTTCATATTGTTGGGAGTAAATCTACTTCAATCCCAACAGTACAGTAACATGGGGCAGGAACCACATTTTGTTTTTCTGCTGCACATCAGATTGAATCAGGGCAATAGAATAAACTTTACCTGCATTTTTAACAAACACATTCAGCATTCAGGATTCCTTGTTTACTTTTAAGGCATGTGTAATTATTGCAATTTTTAAAAAATGTAAAGTGAAACACTCACCTCATCAGAAGAATCCATTTGTTCTGTGTCCGGTGTTGTATCTGTAGGTTATTCAAAACAATAACAAAAATGATGGCAAACAGATTGCAATTGGAAATAAAAACGGGAAAAGAGAAATTTATTTGAGCAGCTTTCCAAATACAATGCTGGACATACGAAAAGAAACATGCTTCAGCCATTAAAATCTACGTTACAACCACACTGATTTCACCACAGCACATCTGTAGCCCAACAGGGTCCTATAATCATTTATACATTTATCTTAAAAAGACATCAGCATTCCAAGTCATATTACTTACCCAAAATAGTTACACTGCTTGCCCCTGCCATATGATATAGTGCTGTGGTCACAGATTGATCCTCAGAGGATACGAGTACAGAGTCTCTGAGAGCTGACAGGTATTTTTCGTAGTTTTTCTTTGCATAGGTTTTTTCTCCAGTGCCTGAGCAGAAAAAAAAAATCAATCTCCTTTTCAGGTAATCTTACTCCTAGTCTCAATAAGATCAAATAATCTTGTAAAATAGCTAAATAATTAAATGATGTGCAATCACTTTCTTGTGCATATCATTCATATTATTTTCATATTATATATCTACATATTTACTGTTTGCCTATTAAGGAAAACCTATAGACAACTAGCATACGTGGTTTTGATAAGTATAAATGCTAACAAATTGTAAGATAAATGCATTTCAATAAAATTAAGATTTAAAAGATTTACAAATCTCAAATTACTGTACAACCAGACTTACACATTTCACCAGAACTGAGGTCTTTATATATCTGCTGGTTAGCTAACACTCTTGTCAAAATAGATCGCATTGCCCCTCCCATCTTGGTTAGCTCTTCTAGAAGAGAAATGAGGGGTTCCATCTGTTGCAGTGTTTTCTGAAGGTCTCTCTCAGGTGTTGCCTCAGTTACTATAAGAAAACAAAGATATAATAGGGATTCTTTGCATAAATACTTTAATGCCACTTTATACAATGTGATCCAAAAAGAAAGTTATGCATGTTTTAGCATAAATATATTGAAGAGCAAGACACAGAATGCAATGGTTTTAACTGTTAGTCAAATTTGTTGTAAGTATTCATATTTACAAAAACTTATCTCAGTAAATGGCAGTAAGTGTATTTGCCAATTTACCATACTGCTTTTAGATAACATCACTAATATGTTTTGTATAAATTGTATTCATAATATCCAATGTTAAGCCAAATCATAACAATAATAATCCTTGCATTTGATATAGCATCTTATCATTTCTTTGAGACGTCTCAAAGTGCTTCACAGAATATACTGTAAAATATACTTTGTGGGCGAAATGCAACAGCCTGTTGCGCACAGCGGTGTCCCACAAACAGTCATGGATTGAGTGACCAATTTTCTTTTTTTTTTGAAGGAATTATTACTCTCGGAAAAGCGATCCACCAATTGACAGATAACTGGGTTTCTACTTACTGCTAGGTAAACTGAGTTATGTGAGATAAGGAAACTAGCCCAACATTTCACCCTGCCGGGAATCAAATCCAGGACTCTTGTTCAAACCACTGAGCTACAGGACTACAAAATAAATATGCAGATCTAACCCCATTTAGCTTTTTTCTGGGAAGGCAAGTGTTCTTACTAGCGTAATGTAGGTCAGGAAGCAACAGAATGGTTAAGATGGCACAAAACCAATCCTCATCACAATTACATTACCTACAGAGACGCAAGTCATACCTGGTTCACTGTAACCATCCCGTAAATGCTGAATAAGGCGGAGGATAATTCGAGGAAGCATCTGTTCAGACATCAACATCAGTTCATTGGGAACACAAGGAATATTTTCACTTGTTGTGCATCGATGTTGTTTACAAAACCTAGAAGAGTTTTTAAAAACCTTTGTTGGTTTATTCATAAAGTACATTGTAAAATGTAGACACAAACGTACAGTCTTCCTCGACCTCTGGCTGAGTAACGAGTTTTTAATTTGGTTACTATTTTGTCTTAAAAAGATTTTACCTCACATTCTCCCGTCGAATAAGTTAGAACACTCCAAAGTTCCTGCATTAAATGAGTTTAATTTCAAGTCACAGTTTGCTAGTCAGTGCATGTCTTTAACACTGAATATAAAAGCACCTCATAATTGCTCCATGTACATTTATTTTATTAAACAAAATATCACCGCAACCACAATACTCCAAATATTTACTCCAGTAATTGGGGCAAGTCAAAACAAAAAAACCTCAGCAACAATAATATACTCACAAACAGAAACAACACCTCCCCTAATGTTCTCCCTCCCCTCACAAGTCAATCTGAGGGGTACAGACCAGATAAAAAGTAGACATAGCTTTGCCACTGTGATTAACTTTTTAAAGATAACTACAAAACATAGATAGATATGATTGTTTGAACACTGAGGGTTTGTGTCTTCAGCATTGCTGCTCCAATCTGGTGAACCCATTAGCCTGGTCATTCTCTTTCCGATCCTATCAGAATAAACTAACCAATGAAGTTAAATTACAAAGCCTCACAAAACACTGGAATAAAGTGCCCATATCTATACAATGAAGCTAGTTCCTGTCAGTGCTGTAACAACTATCTAAATTTACTTCTAAAGAAGTAAACATCCAGCTATGAAAGGAATTTGGCTTGGTTGAGGTAAGTACTGACATAGATCAAATAGTATTAACACTGATACATGCCCTTGGGCAAAACACGTGTGGAATTCAACCAGTCAGGTTTGATTAATGTAGATTATAATGTGGGATTATTCGCCTCCTTCACCAGGTTAA